GGACTATTCCGCCAAATCACCTAGTTCCTTTTTATTTTAATAGAATGAAATACATTGAAATTGCTTATAAATTTTTTAAACAAAACGAGCTCACGAATATGCTCAAAGAAAAACTTAAATGGATCGACATTGGTACTGGGGCAAGTGGAATTTATGCTTTGATCATAGCAGGGCTAAAATTGGGAGTCGTTCTCGCCACAGAAATCGACGAAAATAGTGTTATTCATTTTAAGCGTATTCTATCGATGAACCCAGAGATTTCGGATTTAATTATCCTTCAACAAGTTTCACAAGCTCAGATTCTCGCTGAACTGAGCGGACAGTACGATATATTAGTGTGCAATCCGCCTTTTCACGATTCTGACGCTTTCACTGAAGGAGTCACTGATCTAATAAAAGACATAAACATTGGAACAAAAAACGAAATGTTCTACCCGGGAGGCGAGCTTCATTTCATATCCAATCTATTAACAGAGTCAGCCAAAGCTTATAATTGCTTGGCAGATAGCGATTTCGCTGTAAAACTGTATACGTGCCTAGTTTCTAAAAAAAAAAATATCGATCTATTACTATTAAAAGCTAAAAAATTTCAAGATATTAAATTTTGTAAAATAATAGGCCAAACTTCAGGAAGACACCCTAGGTGGATCTTGGCATGGTCTTTTCTCGAGCTTACATTGGGAAAAACAACAACTAGCTGTATGCCCCGTTAAATTATTTTTAAATTTCAGGAAGCAGTTCTGGCTTTCAGTCGCATAAAACTGTTTGAGCCTCGCCATTAAAAAGGGTTTTCGTCATCCTCAAAAAAATTGTTGCTTATTCTGTGGCTCATGACGAAACCAGACTTGTTCGGGAATGTTTTCGGAGAATATAGTTTCAACTTCCTTAAACCAGCTCCTGCAAACTCTTGATCAGTAAAACTACTCAACGAACTTGACGTTTCTACTTTTGCATTCGCCAGTTTGTCATTAAGCCCTGGATGTTGAAGCCCCTGCGAAGTCGAAACGCTGAATTTTACTATGCTTGGCTTTGTATTTAGCGATATTTTTTTATTAAACCTGGTTTTACCTAATTCCAACGATGTTTTAGTTTCGGTGCTAACACCACGTGTTGGACTATTTTCGTTTAAATAATGTTTTGACTCTGCGTTTATCTTTTGGTTAACCTTGCTGGACGCAGTGTTAATAGAATGAGACCCTCCGTTTAAAGATGGGTCAGTAAACTTTTCTGAACTAATAGCTAGACTGATTTTGCGTGTAGTGCCTTTTTTATTTATTTTGTTTTTTTTCATTGCAATGTGGTTGTTATTCTTTTGCTCAGTCGATAATCCGCGTCTTAACAACGAGAATTTGTGTATATCTTTGAAACTATTATTCAAACTAGCTAATGGTTGGTCAATCTCATCGTGCTCTATGTCACCACCACTCTCGTGCAACGAATTTTGTTCAAATTTTTCGTTTATAATAGCATCTTTTAATGGCTTAGCTTGTGAATGTTGCCAAGACACCGATCCAAAACTTTTTACTTCTTTATTGATTGTATTTGTTTGCGCTTCATCTGTTTCAGATGACGCAGCTTTTGTGAAAGAGACAGATCCCGATTTTTCTTTCGGTATTTCAACAAGAATTGATTCATTTATACGCGTCGAGCTGCTATCTATATTTTTAAAAAAATTTGTAGAGTTGTAGAGATCTTGTCGTCCGTTACAAGATATAGTAAGGTCTGTAACGTTTTTAGTCTTTGCTCCTGTGAAAACTGAACTTTGCGGATTTACTTGCGAAGTCTGATGATTTACAAGATCTTCATAAGATTTGTCAAAAAGACTATTTGAGGTAATAACGCTTTTTTCATTTAACACACTTGTTAGCTTGATAAAATCTAAATTGTCATTTGTTTCAGAACATTTTTGTTTATCCTGCTGAGCATCCAAACTTCGATTACTGCTATAAGAGACAACCACAGATCTTCCCTCGGGTGACATTGATGAATCTGTTTTCGATAATTTAAGTAGGTTCTTCTCAGTAAAAATCTTTTTGGGCTTTAGTATTGATGTAGCGTTCAAATTAACTTCTTTCAAAATTTCTTCGCCGGATTTGTTAGTTTCTGAAGGCGAGGCTAACGGAACCGTGGTTGCAATTTTTCTTTTCACACGGAATGCTATTAAATTTTTATTTGTGCATTTCAACAAAGGAAACTTTTTAGACGTAAAAAGATTGTATTTCTGTGTGTTTTGATAGTTTTTTTTTAAATCTAAAGAGTCTGCTTCGTTATTTTTGTTGTCAATTGTGCTAAAATTAGCGTCATGCGTAATGGGTAAAGTTGTTACATTTAAATCCGCATGGATCGAAATTGGTTCCAGCTGGTTAAAGGTTTTATTCACTGAAGTCCTTAAAATATTTTTCATTAAATTTTTTGAACACGTATCGACGGATATATTTATTGGACGCAAGGCTTGATGTGTAGAAATATTTGTTGCATTAGCTGAGCTTTCTATTTGCTTTTTATCTTCAAAATACGATGGTTCCTGTATTTTAGATTTATTAAAAGTACTATCGGTATTTGAGTTATCAATTTTAGCGTTTTTTAGTTTCACTGTTATATCGTTATTTTTAATACCAGTATCTGCATTATAGTCCTGCTCTACAGTTATTGGATCACATGTACTAGTTGATATATCAATTTCATCAGTGGTTGTTATTGCGTTTATAGCTTCTTCATTAGTATTTGTTAGCAAGAAAAATATATCACTATTCTTTTTTGACAAAGAAGATTTTGCTTTACCGAAGTGATATAATAAATTTTTTTGTGGCGATTTTCTAACTTCTGCTTTTAGATTGACAGAAATGTGCGGCTCCAGTTTCGTAAAAGTTTTATTTATTGATGAGTCGGATTTATTACTTGATATAGGCATAGGATTTAGAATTTGAGTTTCATTTTCTTCTATGAGTTTGTTGCAATGAACAACGGAAGGGTTAAATCTTTTGTTGCCTGCATAAGTTCTAAACCAATTTGAACTTAGTTTTTCAATATCAAAAATCAATTGAAGATTTAGCTTTTTTTCATTATGAAGTAAATGAATTAAAACGATTTTCAATAAATTTTCATTTTGATTTCCTCCATTGACTAAGTTATCTCCGTTTGCTGACGGTAAATTTGCTAAAAGATTGACATCTGGATTTTTCTCTGTAGTATTAGCAACTGAGACTTTAGATATATTTAGAGAAAAAGTATCGGGGTTAGTAGCGTGTTCATTTGTAGTGGGTTCATTTCGCAAAGTGTTTTCTGTAAGGTTAGCAGGTAGTTTTTGGAAATTTGATATTGCATAATTTTTTATTAGTAATGGATTGCTTTTCTTAATAGGAGATGAAATTTTCCTGTTTTCGATATTTACAACCGTATTTTCTTGTGCAATATTGTCTTCAACTTCGTTTTCAAGCTTGTTATTTAACAAATCAGTTATAATTTCGTTTTTATTATAAAGTTTTGTACAAATAAGTTTCTGACTAGGAATTTTGAAAAAAGGTTTAGCTTCAATATTAGCGATAGTTTTGTCAGTTTGCTCCTTATTATTAATTTTAACTGCATTTTGTTTTGTTTGAGACGAAGAAGAAAGTTTTTTAGCTGAATAATTCTTAAGTTTGAGGTTTGCACTATTGAATTTGCTTTCTTGATTTTTTTCTACGAGAGACAGAATAACTTCTTTATCAAATTGATTGTTGAAAGAAGGAGTGGTCTCAAGCATATCGATATTTATGGCACAATTATGAACTTTGACTGTTTGAACTTCTTTCACAGACATTGACTTATTTAATTTTATGCTTGAAGTAGAAGAATTGGCTGATCCTGTTTTTTGCACTCCCTCAATCATAGATGCGTTGGTATTAGATTTTGATAAAGCATTTCTATTACTTATTAGCAAAACCGGTTGGTCAGAAACGCTATATGTCTTATAATTGTCCCTTTCAAGTTTGTTATAACTATCATTTTTTATTGGTTCATTATTGTTATTCTTGAATTTTTTAAAGTCAATTTGTAATTCCATTTTTTTTGCATCTGAGTTTTCTTTGGCGGATTCGACTTCACATGGATCTGGCAATTTGGGTTCCTGTAATTTTTCTTGAATGCCAATATCAGATATTGATTCAGTAAGATCCGTAAAAGATTCAATTATTAAGTCTTCACTAGGTTTTTCATATTTAAGCAATTCTTCTACGCAGTTTATCATGCTGTCAGAAGTCGTTTTGTAACTTACAATTTCTTCTAAACTATTTATTAGGTCCAAACTGTTGTTGTTATTGTTTTCTTTCTCGTTCGTATGTTTAGTATTTGTATGAATTTGTGCTAAATTTGGGGATTCAACGCTGGTATCAAAAAACTCGTTAGAATTATTAACAATAAGTTCTCTTTTATGTGATAATTTCAACTTGAGAGGAATATTTACTAATCTATTTATAGAATTTATGTTTTTATGTGATGATGTCTGATAATGTTTATTATAACATTTGACTAAATTAGTTTTCTTTATATATTCTTTTTGACTAACAGCATCATTAGAAGTTTTTAAGTTATGGAATATAGTCGATTTTGATTCATCTTTTTTATTTGATACATTCATTTGACGATCTTCATTAGGCGTCAATTTAGTTTTAAGCTTATTAACTATTTTATATCGAAGAGTTTTTAAGTTTTTCGTACCGTGATTCCGTAATTTTATTTTTTTAAGTGTATTCGTCTTTTTTGACGACTTCCTAGTATTATTTTCTAAAAAGTTAAAACGTTTCTTTTCGTCAATAGTTTTTGTTAGGCGTTTAGCCTTGATGTTCGAAACATTTTCTAAAATTAAATCCGTCGAGTTGGTTTCAATATTTTTATTTTCTTTTGTACAAGCAATGATAGGGATTGATTGGTTAGTTTGAGTTTGAATGTCATGCGAACGGACTTTCAAATTCAAAGTATAGAAAGGATCGTTGTTTTTTTCAGTTTGTTGCAACGAATTTTTTTTAACAAAACACGCTATGCCTGAATTGGGTAATAAAGAATTAGAACTTTTATAATTTAAGCTTGTTTTTTCCCTTGTATCAACTAACTTAACTTTATTTATATCACAAATGTTCGATTCAGAGATTTCATTCATTTTTAATTTGAATAGCTCATTGGAAAATCTTGCGGATTTTTTCCCATTTGAACCTGTTTGTGACTGGAGCTTTACAACATTTGTAGCATTGTAAGAAGGTTTGAATGGTATTTTCGATACGTTGGAAAGTGCGTTTACGCATTTAGCTTGTTTTATATTTACTGGCTGATCTTTTGTCTTTAATACTGAAAAATTCTTTTCCTCATCATTGATTTTGATATTGGTAAACCCTTGATCGTTAAGATTAACTAATGATTTCAATCCTGTAGCTTCTTCAGAGTTTTTCACTAGTTTTGGTTTAATTGATGTAGCTGAAAAACTATTTTTTTTGTTATCCTGATTTTTAACTCGATTAGTATTGTTAGATTTTAATGATGAATTAGAAGATTGTTTAAAAATACCAATGACATCTTTGGAATATTTTGTTTTGACTAACGATTTAGAAGATAGAACCTTGTGTGGATTTTCAAATTTATCAACTTTTATTATGGTATCATCTTTTAATTTATTAGCATTGCTTTTTATAAGCACTTTTGTTTTATCTAGATTTTCAGTTTTTTTAATTAATGTTGGCTGTTTTAAACTATTTCTGCTGACTAAAAAATTATCATCTGTTTTAATTGTAGGCTCTAAACTGTTGTCAGTAATCGAAGTAATAGTTTCCAAATTAGTTTGTATATTTTGTTCGTAGTTTGTGGCTCTAGGGTCTTGAGTAATGTTGATTAAATTAGAATCGATATTTATGTTTCTTTTGATAGTCATTTTGAATTTATTAATCGTGTCGATACCGGCGGTTTTATGATTATTAATGTTCTTTAAAAAGTCATTTTTTTGTAAAATTGATGGTTCTTCATTTGAGTTTGATTTTTTAATTATTTCATCTGAACATTTTTTTAATAAATACTGCCCTTCTAGACCTACGAGTGGTTTTTTAAAAACTTCGGATTTATCAGCTATATCATCTAGATTCTTTGATAAAGAATGTTCTTTTTTCAAACCTAATAGTAATTTTTTAATTAATTTTGATTTTCTAGTCTTTTTATCGAGACTCTTTGACGAAGAATGTTGCTTTGTCAAATCTAATAGTCTTTTTTTAATGGATTCACATTTTTTAGTTCCTTTATCCAGAAATTTTGTTAAGAAATGCTTCTCTTCTAAACTCAAAAATGGATATTTAACTGAGTTAAATTTATTAATATTATTCAAATACCTTGTCGAAAACAGTTTCTTTATTAAATCTATCGGTAGTTCGTCATTAGATTTGCTTTCTTCAGCTGTTTTAATGGAAGCGGTTTTTGATGCAACAGGAACTGCTTCAGTAATAGATATAGAGTAACTATTTCTAAATTTAATGTGTTTATTACAGTGATCATGGACCGGTTGAGTTTCAAACAAGTTTTTTTTTTTTAGATTAAAATTTTTCTTTTGTTTCCTTCTTGGTGCTTCTTCCGGTTCGTGTAATGAATTTTTCTTTAAATGCTCACAAGTTTTAAAATCATTTTTTGTATTTTCTGTAATAGTAAATTTAGTCATATTATTAGTTAATTGTTGGTGGGTGTGTAAAGATAAAACACTATCATTTATGGTCGATGAATTTAATTGTTCGCAGGGCGTTAATAAGTTTAAAAGTTTTCTGTTTGAAGTAACCAACGTTGGTTTATGTTTTAAATTAGAAGAAACAGTTAAGATTTGTTTATCCTTTGCAGCTGAAATTATAGGCTGATCAATTTTGATGTTATATACTTTTTTTGTAAAAGTCTTTGGCTTGACTTTCACAATATGTATTTCAGAATTTTTATCATTGGTGGGATTTGTTAACTTTTTACTTTTTTTCATGGACTCAGGATAACCAATATTAGATGTAGCACGCGTAGTTGAATTTTCATTCTTGTTGTTATTATCAGTATCATGTCTTGAAAACTCTAATTTTCTTAATTTTGTCGATGTTTTTGATTTCCTAGCGTTAAAAGTAAGTTTTACTACAGGACTAATGTTTGATTTACATTGATGAACATTATTTCCTGACTTAAATGCTTGATAATTTTTTGTTTCAACTCCTAAAGCAGAATTAGTATTGTGACCGTCTATTTTGCTGCTAACATGAAATTTGTTACGTTTAAAATATGGGTGATAATTAGTATGTACGCTATAATACTTGTTCGTTGATTTTGTTTGATTATTTAAATCTATAAATAAATTGCGATAAGTATCAAGAAATAAGTTATGATAATTTAACTGTTTATAGTTATTTTTATATTTTACTTACCTTCATCGATTTCATTTATGTTAGCCTCGGTTGATACTGAATTTTTTTTTTGGTTTATTGGCTCACTAGATTGTTTAAAATTGTCTAATTTTTCTGTCATTGAACTAGGCTTATGACTTTTGTTTATAATTTTCGCATTTGTTGTACTCATAATTTTTGGTGAGCATACCATATTAAGAATATCTTTTTTTGCAGTAGAGAGATTTGCAGTTTTGTTAACGTTCTCATTTTTGAAAGTTTTATTCACATCAGGTTTTACGAAACCAATAGGAAGCGAAGTTTTGTCACTTTGTGTATTTTTTTTAGCTTCTTCAGATTTTGAATTTAATCGATTTAACAAATGATTTATAGTTTTATTACACTGTTCAAATGAGCCCTGATTTTCTAAAATATTCATAGTTGAAAAAGGTTCTTTTGATGAAGGCTGTAAAAGATTTTCGTAACTTATCGATGATACGCTAGCATGATTCAAAATATCGCTAGATTTATTGGTATTAGTCAAATCTGAACTAAATCTGCGCGTATCTGTTTTCTTAACATCAAATTCTCCTGAAAGTTTACTAATTAAAGTCTTATCGATTTTTTTCGGAGGATTTATAACTTGGCAAGACGAATCTGGGCTATCTATAATGTTCTTAAATGCATTTTCATAGCGCTGCTTATTTTCAAATAACTTCGATTGTGAAAACAATTTTTTATAGGCAAATTTACCTTTTTTTGAATTTTCACGCTGTTTTCGACGTTCTAAAAGTTTTTTTTCTAATTCCTCGAACTGCTCGTCAGAAAGAACCCTAGAATTAGAACGAGATAAATTTTGGCGTTGCAGTTCGGTTTTCCATTTGTATGGAAGATTTTTAGCTACCGTGCTGTGATGGGAAATATTTTTATATTTTTCAAACTCGTCGTTTAATGGTTCATATTTTTGTTTTGTTTGCGTTTCGTCATTTTTAATGATTTCAGATTCGTGGCATGATTTATTTTTTTCAGCGTTATCATAATTTGATTTTTCATTATCAGTATCAAAATCGGAAAAGTACGCATCTTTAAAAATGTCACTGTCATTTTCGTGATTAAATAAGTCACCTGAACTTAACAAATATTTTAATCCTTCTTCAATTTCTTCGTCTGTGGGTTTAGTTATGTCATCTTCTACTATCGTTTGTGTTGATACGTCATCATTGGAAAGTTTTATATCTTGTGCAATTCTTTTTGTATTATTCCACAAATGATGAGATAAACAGTCAATTTTATACAGATTATCAGTAACCTCGACTAAAGGAAGTTTTATTTTCTGGGTGACTAAATTTTTTTTTTGTTTCTCTGATTCTTGTGCTTCCGCAGTAGCAAACTGCTTATTATATTTGCAATTCTCATATGGACATTTACGCTGGTCATAATTCAATATATTTTGTTCGTCGCAATTACAAGCAGATAATGTTGTGATATATTTGGCACTCAACAATACTGAATCTTGTCTGTTTTGTTTGTATTTTTCAAGAATATTTTGCCGATCCTTAAGGTTATTTCTAGAACAATCTGAGCGGTTATTGTTATTACACCGCATTGAATCTTTGTCCAAAAAATTTATTTCTTCTTATTAGTTTTATATAACTAGCAAAGAACAAAAAAACATAAAAAAAGTTGCACCAACTACGGAACAGAAAAGAATCTAGCCATAATTGTGAATAAATTTAAGTATCGTACATTCAGCACAGAATTTATGACAATACTACTTATACAAAGTTTATCAGCGATAATTAAATTTTTTTTTGTGTATAGTGTTGGTTATATTAAATATTTATCAGTTAAAAATAAATATTATGAGTAGTGATCTATCTGCCTTATTTAACTTATCTAAACAACCGGATATTAAAGAACTTATTAAGGATGCTCATCGTAATAGAAAACTGATTAGAAATCACAAACTTTGTTTGGTTGATGGTACAAGAAACCAAATGACCATAGATGATATTAACGAAATGGAACGATATTATAAAAATATGGAAGTTGATAACAAAATAAGCGCCATGTTTTCAGGCGATAAAATAAATATCACCGAAGACAGAGGTGTTGGGCACATGGCTTTAAGAGGGACGTACATGAAAATAGACAATGAGCCGGTTTGCTCAACCATTACAAAAGTTAAAATAAACATGTTTGAGTTTGCTGATGGTGTTCGAGAAGGAAAAATATTAGGTTACACCAACAAAAAACTGAAAAACATATTGTGTATTGGAATTGGTGGATCTTATTTAGGTCTAGACTTCGTATACAATGCTTTTAAATCTTCTCCAGAATGTGAACAAGCTACGTTCGGAAGAAATTTAAGAATAATTGCAAACGTAGATCCAGTTGATTTTCATTCTTGTGTCAAAGGCTTGAACCCTGAAGAAACACTAGCCATTATAATCAGCAAAACATTTACAACTGCTGAAACGATGCTTAATGCTAAAACTGTTCGAGATTGGTTTTTAAAGCATTACAAAAACAACGAAAACATTATCAAATATCATTTTTGCGCAGTATCAACAGCAGTTGACAAATGTGTACGTTATGGAATATTAGAAAGTCGTATTTTCGCTTTCTGGGACTGGGTAGGTGGTAGATATAGCGTTACTTCGGCTGTTGGAATTTTACCACTGGCTCTTCATTTTGGTTCTGAGATTTGTAGATCGTTTTTGGCTGGTGCTCAAGAAGCAGATACTGACGTAATTAAAAACAAAAAAAATTCAATTTCAGCTTTACTAGCCATGATTTCGTTCTGGCACACCGTTTATTGCAAGTATAATGCTACTGCTATAATTCCTTATAGCCAAGCCTTGTCACGATTCCCAGCACACATTCAGCAACTATCCATGGAGTCAAACGGTAAAGCTGTCCAAATTAACGGTGAATTGATAAGCAACGCTAACATGACGGGAGAAATAATTTTTGGGGAACCTGGAACCAATGCTCAACATTCTTTCTTTCAATTAATTCATCAAGGTAGAATTATTCCTTGTGAATTTATTGGATTTTGCAAGTCCCAAGCCAACGTCAAAGTAGATTCTCACCCTATCTCTAATCACGATGAGTTGATGTGTAATTTTTTTGCACAAGCTGATGCACTAGCTGAAGGACGATCCGTGGAAAGTTTAAAAGAAAACAACGAAAAACCTGAACTTTATTTGCATAAAGCTTTCACTGGAAATCGACCAAGTCTCTCAATTCTGTTCAAAAATACTTTAAATGCTTATACTACCGGTTTCTTGTTGGGAATATATGAGCATAAAGTTGCAATTCAAGGTTTCTTGTTTAACATTAATTCTTTCGACCAATGGGGTGTTGAATTAGGAAAAGTTTTGGCTAACAAGGTTAGAGAAACAATAAAAGAATATCGTAGTTCTAATGTTAAAAATAAATCACTTGAATCACTCGATGCTTGTGATAATATTTTTGAATATTATCTGCAATATTCGTAATTTTGGCAGACTTTTTTTATATGTACACATAATTGATCGACCCCAAAAAATTGTGATATTATTTTTATTTGTTCGATGCGCAACTAATAGTTGATTATCATAATATATCGCACAACAAGTTTAAAAAAAGTTATTAGTTTTATGAAATTAATGTTGAGATTGAGCTTATCATTGCTTTGGTCGACTAAATTAGTTCAATGTGAGCCAAATTTGTTAGATAGCTTCGTTAGTAAGTATATCTGAAATATATGTTACAGATTTATTTTCGTCTTCTACACATATTATCAATAGTATTTCAAAGCTTAAGAATGGCTCTGCTCCATCAAATGTCTCAACTAAAAAAGACATTCAAGATTCTGTAGCAACTGAAGAAGTGGTGGAAGAAATACCTTTATACCATGAAATACGAGGTGTTGATAAGAAAAAACCCACTGATCTTACTAAATTTTCTCAAAGTTTAGCTGGACAAAAAGAAGCTATTAATTTAGGAAATCCAGCTGACTTATTGAAAAGGCTACAAAATTTAACCGGTGGGGGCACTATAAGAAACTTATTCCAAAGTGGTTTTCCTGCTATTTCTAATCTTATTGGAGTTGACGAACAATCAAATAATCAAAATCGTGCAACACGTGTGTTGTCTGAAGTTGAGGAGGTGTTATTGATAGATAAAGGGCAAAAATCAGAAAAAAATGATACAGTAATAAAACTTGATGGTTGCTATTTGAATGCTATTCAGGTCAATGGTGAAGAAGATTTAGTAGTGAGATCAAAATCTGTACAGGCATGTCAAGCATTATGTCAAAAAAATAAAAGTTGCGAGTACTGTACATATGTAAGTGATCAAGAATTGTGTTATCATTACTCATCTATTAGCACGCTGAAAAGTTCGAAAATTGCTATAACTGCTCCTAAATATTGTTCTGAAGAAGATAGAAAAGACAAAAATGACTCTGAGAATAACGATGCGATTATAAACAAAGACAGATCGGCAATGACTAATGAAAGCGATCCTTCTGGAGAATTACGGAGTTTCAAACAAGCCGAAGGCATTAAGTTGCTTGATATAGGTTTATTTCGAAACCTTCTTAGCGGTTCAGGTTTGGGTGGATTACTAAGTGGTGGAGGATCTGCATTAAATATCGGTCAAACCATTCAAGCTGCAAGTAACATCCTGACAACTAGTTCTCAATTGATGAATGCGCTACCATTAAAAGAGCTATCAGCTTTAACTACTATGCATGGACACCGAAAAGTTAACATTGGAGGAGGTGGAAAAAAAAACTCTACAGCAGTTAGGACTGCTCCTCCTAAAGGACTAGCTTCTCCAACCGTTATATGTCACAGCGAGGGGATGACTTGTTGTATTCCACGAATAAACGATTGGCAAAGACATCGTCCATTTTTGAATAACCACGAAGATATTGAAAGTTGTAGAGTCGTGTACGTAAGCAACTCTGATAACCTCTGTGTTACATCCGTTTATTACGGAAATTCTGATAAAGAAAGATGTGGAGTTATGGTTAGGGAGACTGATGACTTAGTCTTGTATAGAAACAAGTTAATTGTGCCACAGAAAGGTATCAACAACGCCTTGTGTGAATGCATTATAAAAAAAAATGAAACGGCAGAAACCACTGAAGGAAATGCTCGTTGGGAATATAAAATAACCACTGACGCTCCAAAAAAAGAATCACGTGAAGGTGACGAAGCCAATGTACAAAAATCTATTAAACCATCACAGTTTGCAAAAATACTAGCTAATTTGACCAATAATTCGAATACAAACAGGAATGAAAACTCTCTAACAGATATTGTGGACATTATCCAGAGAATTTCCGGCGAGTCAAAAAAGTAAGACATTTTTTAAAGTACAAAACGTAGTGCGCGAATGTTTGTGTGCATTCAATTTTAGCGAATGACAAACTATCTGTATGAAAATAATCTAATTTACACTGAGTTTTACTCGATTTCAGATTGTAAGATAATTTCTAGGCATTTTAACGTCAAAAGATGGGCTAGAGAAAACGAAAAAAAAAGTGCTTGACTGATTTTTAGCCGATTATAAACAGCTGGGAACTAATTCATTGATTTATTGAAGGAATAAACTGCAAATAGACGTGAAATTTGAATACGAAAATATAGACATTATATGTTTTTTTTTTTGAGGCATTATAAAAACGTATGAAACATTTAACTTATTAACGCAGAAATAATTTCGATCCGAAAATTTTGTCAGTTATACATAAAGAGTGCTCATTTCCAAACGAAAGAATGTACATAATCAATAGAAAAGGAGAGCAAGAACCTGTAATTGTGGAGAGAATTTTAAATAGAATAAAATCTCTCTCGTATGGTTTGAGTGACCTAATTGACGCTTCCAGGATAACCAACGCGGTTTACGCAGGTATGTTTTCAGGAATCAGTAGTACCGAACTGGATGAGCTATCCGCGCAAGAATGTGCGTCTATGATAGGTATTCATCCGGACTACAGTATTTTGGCAGCTCGAATAGCAGCTTCGAATTTGTTCAAGAATGTCGTTAAAAAGTTTTCACAATCTATCGAGCTACTATACGATTCCAAAGGATTCACTACAAAAAAAGGCATTATTGCTGATCATATTTATAAATATGTAATGGAGAATGCCGAAGTTTTAGATAACGCAATAGTCAAAGAAAGAGACTTCGATTTCTCTTACTTTGGTTTCAAGACAATGGAAAAATCTTATTTGTTGAAATCTGGTAAGAAAATTGTAGAAACACCTCAATACATGTTCATGCGAGTTGCTGTGCAAATCCACATTGGTGACCTTGACAAGATTATTGAGACATACAATTTACTCAGCCAGAAATACTTCATTCACGCAACTCCCACACTGTTTAATGCCGCAACTCGCTTTCCTCAAATGAGTAGCTGTTATTTGTTGCAAATGCAATCGGATTCAATTGACGGAATTTATAATACGTTGAAACAATGCGCAATTATTAGTAAATACGCAGGTGGAGTTGGGCTAGCTATACATAAAATACGGGCACACGGGACTGAAATTCAAGGTACAAATGGTATTAGCAACGGTGTTATACCTATGCTCAAAGTTTTCAATGAAACCGCCCGTTATGTCGACCAAGGTGGTGGAAGACGAAAGGGCGGCTTTGCAGTATATCTGGAGCCATGGCATTTGGATATTTTCGAATTCTTAGAACTAAAAAAAAATCACGGACATGAAGAAGCTCGTGCTCGGGATTTGTTCTACGCATTGTGGATTCCTGATTTGTTTATGAAAAGAGTAGACCAAGACAGCTACTGGAGCCTCATGTGTCCGCACCAATCACCCGGTCTACACGAGGTTTGGGGGAAAAAGTTCGAGAAACTCTACGAATCATATGAAAAAGAAGGTCGATACATCAAGCAAATCAAAGCTCGTGAACTTTGGATGGCAATTTTAGTCACTCAAATGGAAACTGGAAACCCCTATATGGTTTTTAAAGATGCCGCAAATCGAAAGTCTAACCAGCAAAACCTCGGAACCATCCAGTCCTCCAATTTATGTACTGAAGTTATTCAATACACTTCTCCTGATGAAATCGCTATTTGTAATCTTGCTTCAATTTCACTTCCAAAATATGTAAACCAAAAAGAATTTACATTTGACTACAAATCTTTGTATGAAATCACCAAGGTTGCTACCGTCAATCTGAACAAAGTGGTCGACACAAACTTCTACCACTTGGAAGAAGGAAAAAGAAGCAATATGCTGCACAGGCCAATTGGAATCGGTGTGCAAGGTTTAGCGGATGTGTATCAATTGTTAGAACTACCTTTTGACACGAAGGATGCTGACATTATCAATCAACGAATCTTTGAAACCATTTACTTTGCCGCTTTAACGGCTTCTTGTGAATTAGCTGAAAAGTTCGGAACTTACCCTTCCTACGAAGATTCTCCTATGAGCAAAGGATTGCTTCAATTTGATTTGTGGAACTTGGAACGTGCAGAAAAAAATCTGCCACCGGTTCAGCTTTCTGGACTTTGGGATTGGGATGAATTACGCGCTAAAATCAAAAAGTTTGGTATACGCAATAGTTTGCTTGTGGCTCCAATGCCCACGGCGTCTACCTCCCAAATTCTCGGAAACTGTGAAAGTTTCGAACCTTATATTTCCAACATTTTTTCTAGACGAGTCTTGTCGGGAGAGTTTCAAGTTGTTAACCCCCATTTGTGTAAAAAATTAGTCGAATTGAACTTATGGAACGAGGAGATGAAACAAAAATTGATTGCTCACGAAGGATCAATTCAAGCTATTGACGAAATCCCTAGTTATGTTAAAGCTATATTTAAAACTACGTGGGAAATTAAGCAAAAAGAATATATCAACCAATCTATAAGCAGAGCTCCTTTTATCTGCCAGTCTCAATCTTTATCACTCTATCTCAGAAATCCAACTTACAGTAACATGACGTCAATGCATTTTTACGCTTGGAAAAACGGATTAAAAACTGGTCTGTATTATCTCCGTACAAAATCAGCAGCCGATGCAATCAAATTTACAATTGACCCTTTAACTGTGCGAGTAGCCAGTTCGACATCCATCTCAGGGTCTGCTGAAAATTCTGAAAACAACAGTCCTAGAATCGTTTCAGCATGTCCTTTGAAAAAACCAGATGCAAGAGACGACGAGGTATGCCTTGCTTGCAGTGCCTAATTTTGTATTGCTTTTTAAACTCCTAACGTTTGCAGAGCTAATTTGCCAGAATCAAATAAATTTTATATCAGATCTTGTAATGGATAATCTTCGCTAAGTTTTAACATTAAATTTTAATTCATTCGCTCACGGTGCATTCAAAGGTATACATATACAAATTTCTACAATTTATGATTTTTACTTTTGATTATAAAATTCGAGAAAACTTGATTGCTTTTCAGATCAAATGATGACTGCGTAAATCAAGCAATAAGTTTCATTATGAAGTTATCAACAAGCCTGCGTTAGATAAATTTACATTTTAGTTTTTAGTGCATGTAAAAAAATCAAGTTTGGTTCACGTATAGCAAAACAATAAGTAACGTATTGTTCTTTACTAGAAAATGTGTTTTTTTATATAAACTGTAATTTAAAAAAGTCAAGATAGCAGCATTTCTCATTAAGAAACTGAAATAAAATTTAAGTATGGAGCAGCCGGAATCGAACACTTCAACGCTTGTCCGAAGAAATAGGCTTGATACTTTCTTTTTCGGGTCTACCATTAATACAAGAGCATTTAATGGAGAGCGAAAAAACCAGTTGACGAAAAATTACCGCAAACTGAAAACAATCGGTAAGGGCGCTTATGGAACCGTTTTGTTTATTGAAAATTTAGAAACGAAAGAAGTTGTGGCTTGCAAATGCATTTTAAAAACTATCTTCAAGCCGGGAAACATAGAAAAGTTTAGACTGGAAATTGAGTTGATGCGCAGATGTGACCACGCGAATATTGCCAAGATTTACGAGTTTTATGAAGATGAGAAATATTTGTATTTACTGGAAGAAGCATGTTACGGTGGAGAATTGTTTGATTACATAACCAGCCCAAACTACACAGGCGATATTGATAAAAAAGAAAATCCAAAGAAAGCAGCGCAACACTTGGAAGTTATTAGCAGGATTTTGATGAAACAATTACTGAACAGTGTAAGCTATTTACACTTGCGTGGTATTGTGCATCGGGACATAAAACCAGAAAATATAATTTTAAAATATAAAAACGATATATCGAACGTAAAGCTTGTTGACTTTGGGTTGAGCAGCAAGTTAACTGACGAAAAACTGAAAGAAACAGTTGGTACGCCTTATTACATAGCACCTGAAGTGTTGGATAAATCGTATGATTATCGTTGTGACATTTGGTCCCTCGGTGTGTTGCTGTACATATTAATTTCTGGTTCGCCGCCGTTTTACGGAAACACAGATAGCGAAATCATCGAAGCAGTTAGAAATAAGAAATATTCATTTTCCAGTTCGTTTTGGAAATATGTGTCTAACGAATGTAAAGATTTGATTTCGAAAATGTTGGTATACCCCCCTGCGGATCGCTATACTGCTAGTCAATGTATACAGCACCCGTGGTTCTCGCTCAAATTTGAGGAAAGTCTCAAACAAATAAATCCCACTTGCCAAAATTGCATTTCAGAGTTCGATAAATCTTTGATTGAAGCGATGCAAGACAATATTCTAGCTTACGAGAAAAATGACAAAATTCAAAAATCAATAATGCTGTTCACTAGTTATCGAATTCAAAACGCTTATGATATTACGAAGCACATAAACTTGTTTAACAGCCTCGATACTGACATGAACGGTTTGGTACATTCAGAAGAGTTTGCAGAAGGCGTCAAGCTGTTTTTTCCACGCCTAGTAGACTGCCAGAAAGCCGTGTTTATGAACATAGATATAAACCAAGACGGATACATAGAAATAAGCGAGTGGCTGGCAGCTACTATTGACGCAAAAGTTTTACTCAACGAAGCGCAAATAAAAGAAGCGTTCAAAGCTGTCAATCAGCAAGGCGGCGAGTACTTGTCAAAAAAAGATTTGATCAACTTGTTGCATGACTCTGAATACGTAGACAAACTAGTTCGAGAATGTAACATAGATCCGGAAAAAATCTTACCTGATGCTTTCCGACAGCTCGTGCTGCATAAAATTAGAGACGGCACCAGTCGAGATGAAGAAAAAGTTTAACTTGGTTGTGTCCGAACAAACCTAGAGTTTTACAAAGAGTTTTCAATGTCGTTTACAAGCAGTGATAAGTTGCTAGTACCAATATTTGAGGCCAAAGCGGGCTGCTTGGTTTTTATCGGGAACTAAATAATATTATAAAAGAAAGAAACTTACAGCAAGCTTTTGCCATTCATGAATAATTGTTCAATGTAATAAACTCCTAACAAACTAACTACTACGATTAAGATCAACTGGCTAATCTTCCATTTTATTAGTCTGGTGTGGCTTACTCTGAGTAAGTCCGTGTGCGTTCGCGCCCGAGCAACCGACAGTGTTTGCATTTTAATTAATTCAAACGAGTGAGCGTATAATTCTTTGGATAACGTATCTAGCGATTTTGTTTGGTGAACATAGGCAAGCTCTGTCGGAACAGACTGGTCAAAGATAAGCAACGCCAGAACTACGTTTTTTTTATTTTTGTTTGCAAAACACATTTCATAGAAAGTAGAGTAATCCTTTGGTGAAACAGTGCTTACATTTATCTTTTTTTCGTTATCACTTTTCGATATGCTGACCACGTTTTGAGTGCTGGATTTTTCAGATTTAGGCTGTTTGTAAAAAATATTATGCGATATTCCTATGTCTTCATCGTGCAACAATTCGTAATGAATACTTAGATTCGTGTTTTTATTTGCAAGATACTTAAGACAATGTGTTTCGTCTGGGGACAAATTAAAGGTTATAGCATTGCTTTTGAAATAGCTCAGCACTGAAGCCAACAACAACCAACTATTCTTCATGATCTAACTTTTATATTGTAAATCGAAGTTTTAGATCATCTGAGTTGAATAATGAATTTAATAAATTATAGTTTATAGAAAAAGCTTTAATCATTAAATAATGTAAGTTACGAAAATATTTTTTATTATAACGTGTATATGCTTAAATTCGGAAAATTAACAGATATGAATCGAATTTAAGAGTTCAAGATTTCTAAACTGTTATAAGATAAATTAACTGCAATTCACTTGAGCTATAAATGCGATATCATCTTTATGCTTATAGTTCAACTTTTATTTTTCATATTTAATAGCTTAGGAACATGCGGAGTAACTGGCAGAACATTGAATCCCGAAAATTCGATCAATTTCGAAACACTGGTAAAACAAATTCCGACTTCACATAAGTTTGAGACGCAGTTTCAATTTCATATCACGTTGGATCCCGGCCTGATATTTTCGGAAACAAACAAGCTTTTTGTTTATGAATACCAAAGCGACGAACTAATACTGGTTAACACCTTTGACGTAGACTTAAGCAAAACCGAGAAAATAGTACCATTAAAATCGTTGAACAACTATTTTGTTTTATACAATGACGATTGCTACTTTGACATTTTTAGACTGAGAAAAGGCGTCTTTGAACCCTTGATACGTGAAATACATGATTGTTTAATCTCCCCGACTATTTTAGACATCGATTTCGATGGGTTCGAAGATGTTTTGTATTACCGTAACAACGAACTATTTGTTTGGCTACATAAAAACTACCATCGAGACGATTATTACTCTCACAACAGCTCCTCTAAAAAAAATTTAGAGGAAATGAAAATATTGCTAACCGTACCAGAGTCTGATGCTTTCAACAAAGCCTTGGAGCTTAAAAACAAATTAGTTAACGAACCAATTATTACATCTGCAAAGAATACTACTGATCAAGACAATAGGGTTAAAGACACGAACAATAAAAACATGTTTTCTTTTGCTGCTAGCGCCGTTTATTCAAAAATAAAAACATTTACAGAAAAATTTTCATTCTTAAACCTATCTCAACAAGATGACACTGATAAAAAGAACACATTACATGATGAAGATCAAAAAATATTCACGGATGAAGCCCGTAAACTCAATGAATGGTCTTTTGTCGTAGACTATAATAACGACTGTCTACTCGACCTTATACTAGTTACACCTATGCCTGACACAAATAAATTGCGCGTCGAATTCTGGGAAACTGTCTACGAAAACAACATTTTCAGCCGCAAATTAGACATTGAAAACTTTTTCTACATCTCTAATAACATTGTAGAAATTCTTGTCAATGATTTTAGCCAGTCGGGAGTCCCTCATATTTTATTCATAACTAGTTCTTCTATCATGAGACTCGAACCTAGTAACGCACCTATCAATGAAATGTGCAAAAAAGTTAATGTAAAATACGATCCTAAAAACATACATATCGTTAGTAACGCAAATTTTCCAATTAAAGACTTTTCTACTTACAAATTTGCACTGCTCGACGTTAACAATGACGGAGTTGTAGACATTGTCGCAGCGCAAACTTTAGAAGGGAATCAGGGTGTTGTAGTAGATATGTTCATTACTGAAAAGGCAGAGCCCAACAATAATACCGGTGCATACCAAAAGAAATTCATGCAGTCTTTGAAAAATTATACTATAGGATGGTTTACGCAAATATTGAGAACCAGTCCTGTTATCGCTAGATCCGAAGTTTCGAATTCTGTGTCTTTCAACTATCAACAAGCAAAAGTATTCGATCAGTGTATTAACTTAATTAGTATAGTCCGCGAATCATCGAACGAATACTTTCTTTTCTGTTCCACTTTAATTGGCTATTCCATGATTCCGTTTATCAATATTAACGGATTTTACATCAAGATCTTGACCAGGATACAATACAAGAGTGGTAATCCACAAAATGGGTTTTCGCTAGATTTAGCTAACGACGCTCGTTCAAACAACACAACTAACATTAGCTTGCATTCCATACTTCCAGTCAACGTTTGTGTTAAAATTCCAAATTATTTATCGCGTGGCATAACGCCTATTGTGACGCACTGTTCACCAAACAACTACTCTCTAAAGGTCTTTTCGCCATTAGTCATCAATATTGGAGAAAATAGCAATTTCATCTCTCGCTTGTATCACATTATTAACCCCATTCTAGTAGAACAATTTGTCAAAAGCCAGAACTTAAATTCAGAACTCGGAAAAACTTCAAAGAATTTTATTTCCAAAGTTCTCCAGCCAAACAAACGTACAATTAAAAAATTGTCTTACATTACTGTTTGGAAAAATATTATTCCTAACAGCGAATTGCTGTTTTATGGAAACTTAAATACCCGTTATTGGAAAATCTCTTTGATACTCAAACCGGGCCAATCGGTTTTAAATGTTGTCATTGCGATGCTACTGTGTCTGTTTTTGACGGTTTTATGGATATTCTATCTTGATCGGCGTCAGTACACAAAAAGTTTATTTTACTAAAATTGTTGCTTCAGAGCTATAATTTCGTTTATAAAGGAGACTAAAAATAAATTTTTTGAAAATTATAATAAATTTACCAAGAGAGCGACTTGAAAATCAGATGAAAATGCTGGTTGAACTTTTCAAATGAATTATATTTCTCAGTTACCCGAACGAAAATACGATAAATTAGGTGGTTCTGAAGTTTTTTTCAATTTTTACGAAAAAGTCCCTATTCCCAAAGAAATAGATGAACAAAAGCTGTACTCTATTTGCTTTACTCGACTCAATATCTTAAACATAATCTATGAATCAAAATACACAGATAACTTGAAAAGGCTGATTCCAAACGTGTACTTGTCTTACCATGGAGAAGATGTGTTTAAAGATGCTAGGAAAGCGTTTGAAAATTTTCTATTAGACGGCTTGTTTCTGTTTAGTATTAAACCTGATACTTATATACATATATCCCAAAACAATACTGCTGGCACCACGACTCCGTGCGAAAGTCACAATTTAAACAACGTTTTTTACGATTCCTATCTTCTTGATAAGCCTAATAAACGGAAAAGGATGTCGTTGTCCAACAATATTAATAATGATGACTCGTCCTTCAGAGACGAGAACTTTGTTAAAGAGCATTATAAAGAAGATAACTTGTCATTTCTAGTTCTTTTATTCGTATTTTCACAGGCTAGCGATGATTTATTTAACTGGTGGAAAGAACAAGAACTATTACTGTTTGTTATTCGACTTTGCTTGGTTTCGTTTGGCTACGTTGATAATAATAAATTTTTTAGTTGCAAGGAATATATACTAAAGTCAAACTTGCCCGTCAATAAAAACAATTTGCACATAGAATACGCTCAAACATATTTGCATTTTCCGCTTTGCAATGAAGTTAGTGATTGTATTCGTTCTAATTCAGCAATCATATATCGAGGAATTGTCTATGTACGGCATGCATGTTTATTTAACATAATTAAGTCAAACTTTGAAACCCGTTTAAAAAGAATAGCTTTTACGGACAATTCGTCTGCTTCTGTCAGTTCGTACGAAACTAAAGCCAAAGAATTGTACGACAACGAACCCGCTTTCAAGCTCTTAGCTCACGCGATCAAAAATTTTCAAAAAATAAAATCATCGCAAGCCTCAATTTCCAGATCGCTCAATTACGTGACAAATGCCAACTTCAAACCACTTATGTATTATGATCTGCAGAAAGTACAAAGTATCTTCCCTCCTTGCATGTTTAACATCACTAATATGCTAAAACATAACAGACATTTGAAATACAGCGGCAGACTTTTGTATTGGCCCTTTTTAAAAGATTGTGGAATGAAAATAGAAGACGTAATAACTTTTAGCAGAGAAAATTGGCGAAACACTACCGAGTTCGATAAAACTCATTTGTACTCAATTCGACATATTTTTGGTTTAGAAGGCCAGAAACAATCAAAAAACTGCTACAACTGCACAAAAATAATTAATGATTTTACAGTAAGTTACAACGATAAATAAATTTTTAGGTTTCTAGTGACAACAAAACTTATTTCGGATGCCCTTTTGCACTTTCTAATGCGGTAATACGCAAGCACGTTTTAGACGGTTATTCGCTTCCAGATGAGGAGACACTACAGATAGAAAACCTGTGCGCCGAAAATAAACCTCAGTCTGCGTGTGCAAAGTTCTTTTCAATAAAATTTCCTACATATAGTAATTCAAAAATCGGTTTTTCGCCTATTGAATATTATAAGTCTATTTTTGATTTAAGTCATACAAAAAAAAAGTAAAAATTAAAAAGCAACGCTTATGTTCAAATATGATGTTGGTCTATAGGGGAAGTCATTGTGACGAGCAATACGATAATTTCGCTATGAAATTTAATTTTAAAAAAAATATTATTTTGCAGTTCGAAGTAAATAAGTATAGATTATTGGCTATTTCTCAAGCATTAAAATTATATCAATAAATCATATTTATTTGTTAGTAATATTCAATGTACGGTGTAAAACCTAGCGGTTATTTTGGGAAACTCGCTGAGTTAGGAGGAGCTCCTATAGTTATTTTTCAAGATCAGGAGTCAAAATCTCGAGTTACAAGTACAGAAGCCATTATTGGAAACATCGAAGCATGCTGCAAACTAGCAGATACTATAAAAACTTCTTTTGGACCGAAGGGTATGGATAAACTGATCGTCAAGAACGATGGATCGATTATTGTAACAAACGATGGCGCTACCATCATGAAAGAAATGCCGATTGTGCACGAATGTGCCAGACTTTTAGTCGAACTGAGCCAAAGCCAAGATAATGAAATCGGAGACGGTACCACGGGTGTCGTGATATTAGCTGCGGCTTTGTTAAGAGAAGCTGCTAGGCTAATTACTCAAAAATTCCATCCTATCGCCATTATCAAGGGGTATGAGCAAGCTTGTGAAATTGCAGTAAAAGCAATTTCCGAAGTCGCTATCCCTGTTTCTTATGAAAACCGCGAATTTTTCGTGAACGCTGCAATGACCGCACTTAACTCCAAGGTAGTTAGTCACGACAAAGAACATTTGGCAAAAATTTGCGTTGACGCTACCTTCAATGTAGCCGATCTGTCACGTAAAGACGTTGTGAGCGAGCTAATTGTAGTTGAGGTTCAGCCCGGAAAAGCAATATCTAAAACCGAACTAGTAAACGGATTAGTTATTGCTAAAGAATTTTCGCATTGTCAGATGAAAAAATGCGTAGAAGACGCGCGTATCGCCATATTGACTTGTCCATTCGAACCACCTAAGCCTAAAACCAAGCACCGGCTCGCTATTAAAGACAAGCAAGCTTACCAAGAACTAGTTAATAAAGAGTCAGACTACTTCAAAAAAATGATTGACAAACTTTTAGAGGTAAAAGCCAACATAGTTTGCTGCCAATGGGGTTTTGACGATGAAGCCAACCATTTGTTGCTCACACACGGAATAAACGCCATTCGTTGGATAAGCGGCAAAGAAATAGAAATGCTTTCGCTCGTAACCAACGGGCTAATCGTCGCGCGTTTTGAAGACCTTACACCAGAAAAACTTGGATCCGCTCAAAAAATACATGAAGTTTCGACTGGAACCGAAAACAAACGAATGATCTATTTTGAAGGATGTCCACGCCAAAAGGCTGTTTCAATTTTAGTTTGCGGAGGAAACGCTATGCTCGCGCAAGAAACCAAGCGTTCTTTAAATGATTCACTCTGCATTGTTAGAACACTAATTCACGACCCCCGAATAATCGCCGCCGGAGGAGCGTCTGAAATTTACGCTAATTCTTGTATTCACGATCTACTTCACGTCATAAATACCAGCGAAAAGTTTATCTACGAAGCTTTTGCCAACGCATTGCTAGCAGTACCGTCCGCCTTGATCGAGAACGCTGGCTTCGACATCATAGAAAGTTACACAAAAATACTAGCAAAGCAAAAAGAGGAAAAAAATCCCCACCTGGGCTTTGATTGCGACAATGGAGAGGTTTCAGATATGCTCAAAATAAAGGTATATGAAGCATTGGCGTCTAAAGTGCATCAATTCAATTTAGCTACTCAAATTGTTAAAATGATTCTCAGAATTGACGATGTGATAGAACCCAAACCAGCTCAAAAGATGGGCTACTAATTGTTCTAATCGGTAAATGTCTGTTTAGAATTTTTATGGATCGTTCAACTAATATGATTACATAATTGATCCAGATTTTTGTATTATGTAGTGTAGATTGTTTTTGTTTTCAAACAGACTAAAAAGCCGTTAAACCTTTTACTCGTTTGAATTTGCGATATTATTTCAGTTTAAAAGCATGTGGTGAATATTAACACACGCAGTGTTCTTGCAGCTCATTGATACGGAACTTTTCAGCATTAATTCGAAAGAATCATCGTCCGAAAAAAACTCGACAAGCAGTGAAATCACGGTTTTATACTGCCCATTCACGTTTATAGTAGGCAAACCATTTACAAATTCGCCGGGCCAGATTACGCACTCGTCGTTGTCTAAAATAGGGTCCCCGGCCGTTTTAAGTGTGACTGCCAGCTTCTTCAAAATTTCAGGCACGTTTGGGTACAGCGTTTCAGCCCGCGGATGCAAATGAACAATCCATTTTTTCCAGTAAATTTGATATTTTCTGTCATCATCTTGATTGATTGCATCACCCGCATTTTTTTCTATGTCGTCTGGAAAAAAATATTTTAAAGGGTTAAAAGAACAAGCTGTACAGTTGAACATTGTCTTTTTTTCATCAGCCCTAGCTTGACAGTTTGCCAACTAGTTTTTTTAGTTTTACAAAATAAAGTCTTATTTTATTGGTGCTAATTTGAGAACACGCAAACAATTCTAGATCGACATTTTTTGGTAGCGACGCCAGCCGGCTCGTACATCTGCTAATTAAATAATAAATAATTGCGATTTAAATTGTAAATATTATTTCACTCTTTACGTAAAAGATTAATCCGTTCATCGAGCAACCAACGGCAAAGAACTTAATACGTATTTTTAAAAAATAATCTTCCCAAGTTCAATATATAAGTAATATGTTTTATCCTTTGCTTCACCCCATTGACAGTGAAAATTTCAATCAGTCCGTGGTCGAAATAATCATTAAGCAAATCAAAACCATCGCATTGACAAAATCTAAGTCGTTCGAAGAGCCCTACTACATTGGACTTAGCGGCGGAAAAACGTTTTTAGAAATATATGAAGGTTTGAGTAACGCTGCCTTACGAGTCAGCTTACCTCCATTGAAATTTTTTCTGATTGATGAGCGTTATGTTCCGTTCAACGACCCTGAGTCTAATGCCAACAATATTTACTTGTCCTTTTTAAGAGGACGCGGGATAACTCAGAAAAACGCTTTCATTTTTCCGAACACCAGCTTGCCGCTCGACGAATGTATCAGAGTTTATGAAAAACAGTTGGAAACCATTTTGAACAACGATGGGCTCGATTTGATTCTTCTGGGCATGGGCACGGATACGCACATTGCATCTTGGTTCCCGCCATTAACTTCACTCGACTTGTTAAATGCATATGGAGACAAAATCGTTTGCCACACCGTCTGCAATAACGGTCACCCTGTAAAACAGAGATTGACGGTTTCGCTCAAATTTTTGAGACAAACTACACGTACAATCCTTGTTTTTTCTGGAAAAGAGAAATCTAGAGTGTTCCACAAATTGCTTAGTTCGTACGAAAAAGACGTAGAGATCTTGGCACAAAATCCACTTCTTCAGGTCTTGTCTCAGAACCAAATTAAAAACAGACCTTTAGTGTTGTATCCAATGGCCGACCAGTTAGAGTTTGTTGAGCGACATGAAATCATAATTTTCGGCGCTAGCGGTAATTTGGCGCAGGCTAAAATATTTCCAGCTCTATTCACCCTGTTCCTTAAAAATCAGCTTAAACACGTTTCTCGAATTCGTTGTATTTCCAGACGTACAGTTACTAACGATACTTTTCTACCGTATTTAACAGCGTGCTTATCTGTGTTTAACGTGACCAGGTCTCCAGAGGCTAAATTATTGACTGAAAAAATCAACGAGTTCATGAAATTGCTTGTGTACTATTCTATCGACTCGTACAGCAATGTTAAACAAGTTGATTCCATATTAGACTGTATTCGAGCTGATTGTGCTAACAAAGGTGACTGTAAGTTGCTTATTTATCTTGCAACGCCACCGAGTTCTTACGCATACATTAGTGCGTCGTTCCACGCCGCGTTGAAAACGAAAGACGAATTTTTGTTTCAAATAATCGCTGAAAAACCTTTTGGAGACTCGTGTATCACGTTCAAAAACCTGCAACGCTCGCTCGACATCGCTTTTTCTAACAATAATTTACTTCTCATAGATCACTACTTAGGAAAAATCATTGCTAGACACATGCTTGCTTTTCGCTACAGTTTTCAACACCATTATTTCTTACTGGACTGCAAAAATATAGCTAAAATTCACATAAAGCTAAACGAAGTTGTAGGTTGTGAAACGCGAGGTTTGTTCTACGAACAAACAGGAGTAGTCAGAGACGTCGTCCAAAACCACGTTTTGCAGTTAATTGCTCTGAGTGTTTGCAAACCTACAGCACACCAGTTGCCTCATGGACTGAAAAACTCAAAATTAGACATCCTCAACCGCATTGAAAGACTCACCTTGGAGAATTCGATTTTAGGACAGTATACTGAAAGTCAGCTAGGACCTGCTTACGTGTCACACGAAGGTGTGAGCCAGAATTCAAAGGTTCCAACGTACCTCTGTACAGTAACATATTTCCGCCGACTGGACAGTAGCAAGATTCCGATTATAATCGAGTCGGGCAAAGGTTTGAAAAATCAGGAATGTTCGATCCATCTGTACTTGGAAAACACAGCGTTCGAGTACTACGACACCTCTCCAGACACAAATGTAGTTACGTTCAACATCCAGCCGGAAATGTTTATCAAGTTTCCAGTTGTTTTGACAGATCCGTTAAGCGGGTTCAAGAGCACACATCATCATGAGTACGCCAAAATTGAGTACAAAAACCCACAAGTCACTGAAGAAAAATCCTCGCATTCAGGCCCACTACCGTCTGCGTACGAATTGTTGCTTTCAGAAGCACTGCAAGGCAACTATGCCAACTTCATAAGCGAAGAAGAGGTCGAAGTGCAGTGGAAAATTGTTGACCCGTTAATTTACGAATATGAAAACAAACAATCCGAGTGGTCGCTTTGCTACTATGAGTTCGGCTCGGACGGCCCCAAAGAAGCAGAAGCACTAAAACAGAAATTCAACGTATAACTTTATTAAAACGTGTAAATTCGCATTACTTAGTATTTTGCAAAAAATTCATATAATTAAACAGACAATTAATATACCTGATACATCGACACAAGACTAATATATAGATATTATATTTAGAAAATGCGAGCGGTAGCTAAGCAAATCGCTGGGCTTACCAACAAAATGTATTTATTGAGCTTTAGCAGAAACTGGGACGTTTTTCAAAGGAGTGATGTTGATGTCAACAGAAATGTTTCCATCGACGACTCCAAAAGTACGAATGTTGCTGAGTTGTTCGTCGTTTACGAAAAAGTCAACAACAGTTTTGTGGGTTCTTATCTCGAATTTGTCCCATGTGTTAGTACCTTGACCACAGGGTGATTTTCTGGTGGTGATGTTTATGCGTTGCACAGGCATTCTTCTGGGACCCTTGACCTTTATCATGTTTTTTTTAACAGTGTTTATAAAATTAGAGCAGAAGTCCTCGAGAGCTTTTACGTTGGTTGAATGGAAGGAAAGTCTCACTTTTTTTGTTGGGGGCGCTGCAACTTGCACAGCTTTGCCCTGCTCATGATGAGCTTCAGAGTTGGTTTTGAAATGTCTGTTTTGTCGGTTAGAGTCCATTTGCAATAAACTTTTTGTTAAAAATATAGATACCGATTTATCACTGCATTTGTTACGTCTAATTCTTTTAGTATTAATTCAAATATTAATTTTTATCGTAGGCTTACCCTATCGGTCGCCATTTTTTTTATTACCCGATTTTAGTTTTCGGTTTCTTTATTTTACTTGGCTGCTCTATAACTAGTTTTTACTACTTTTTTGATTGTATGAAAAAAAGAAAAAAAATTAAAAAATCATTCAATCATAAAGGCCGACACCAAACCCGTAATTTTACATCATAAAATGTTATATGGCAAAATGACACATAGACAACATTTTGCGCTTTCAGAAACACATACTGAATTTTATAACAACAGTGTGACACAGACAAATGTCTAATTCAAAACCCTATTGGGTTGAAGACTGAAACTGAGTTTCAATAAGCTTGCGTGACTTTTTCCGTGTTACTCTTTCAAACGTCTCTGAGTTTGCAGAATACAAAACGCGCTCATCAATCTCGAGCCCGTAAACGACCCGTCTACGTTTGTTGCTTACACCCATGAGTTCTTGAGTCGACGTTTTCTTAACAGACGCAACCTTGCTCGGTTTTTCCAAAACTTTCATCAATACGTGCTGCGCTCCAGGACTTATACACGCGATGGTTTGCTGCTTTTTGTCGACTAAATTTATCTGAAGTGGTTCAATAATTTCTTCAGGCACATCTACGTCGATTGCTTGGAAACATGAATTGTCTCCCCAAATATAAACGTTGTCCGATCTGGTGAGCAAGAAAGTTGTTTTGCAATACGTGAATATTTTCTTGGCCTTTTCAGACTTTATCTTTAAAGGTTTGTAATAAGGCACATTTTCGCTCTTGACTTTATGCAGTCCTGTCAATATGCTTTTACCACACGCGTAGATGTCTCCGCTTTTAGTCAAAAGGTAATTACTAAAATCTGAAACACAAATGTCAGCAATCTGCACTTTTTTCGGCAAAAATACGGGTTGCGCGTTGGTGACAATTTGAGTTGTGCTTGCAATCCCAAGCTCACCATAGAAATTTCGACCAGCTGCCAGTACGATTATATTTTCTTTATAATTAACCACAACGAAAGTAGAACAACTTCCTGCGAAAACATCAACTATCTTCGACTCGGTTAAGAGAGTCACGTATGATAAGTTCTTGAACGCATCTTTGTGAGCGTCAAAAACTTTCTGATAAAAAATATCGGCCAATAATAGTTTTCTTGGCTTTAAATATTTCACAACCTCGGTTTCAAAGTCGTCTGCATCCCGATTCTGCGGTTCTTGGAAACATTGACCAAACTCGCTAGAACCCCAAACATATAAATAGTTTGTGGACGAACCCTTAACGAGCGCTATAGTGTGGTTCTCTCCCGAAACAATCTTAACGATCGGATCCACGAACTTGTACATAATTTGTTTTTTCGAATTGGCTAAAACTTTTCCATTTTCGGATAGTATTCCCAAATTGCCAGAGTAATCTCTGTAAGTACCCCAGAGATACAAATAGCCCGCAGTTGTTAGCACAGTTACATGACAGTCTCCTGCAGAAATGCTGACTGGGTCGTCTGTGAAATCGATGCAAACTTGAGTTGGAACACGATCTGAATAAATATTGTAGTCTGGATGTTTTGACAAAAACTCTGACCACTCGTTTCGTACTTCACCTGTCTTTGAAGAAGGACGACACAGCATTCCAAGGTCGCTACAACCCCAACTAAATACCTTTAGTTTACCGTCTATTTTCACTATGGCGAACGAAGCCATTGAAGACGCGCGGACCTTCACCACATTTTCATCTGAAAACATCTTAATTATGTGAGGCTTCACTCGACAGTTGTTTTCATCGAGCAAGTCACTTTTGAGCGCGAGTTGATCGCATTCGTTTGACCCCCACGTGTACAAGTTGCCCAGTTCCTCTTTAATATTGAAATCATTAACGTAGACAAGCTTTCTCAATTTGTCACAAAATAAAAAACTTGTCAAATAACTTGGAATTCGTTCAACCGGTTGTACCGTCAAACTCTTACTGAGGTCCTCGCTTGCATCAGATTTTTGCTCGTCTGTAACACCGGCGGGGTTAGAGCTTCCAAACGTGACTCTTGCTGCAAGAGTATCAGTAGTTTCTGTTTCTATGATTGCAATCACATCTGCTTCATCAGCATCGCCAAAACTTGGTAAAAAATTCTCAATTGATTTTCGTGACTTATTTAACAAAAAGTCTGAGTTAACGGAACTGTCTTCCAAATTACAAGCTTCTTGATTAGGTGTTTGTATATTTTCTAAGGAACCGCTGAGCTGTTTTGCATTGCAAGTTACACATTCCTTCAATTCACGAGAATTTGGCGTAGTACATGAAGAACAAAGCCATTCTTTCATTTTATAAAAAATTAATATAGTATGGCAATTACCTTAACAACATAAATCATATAAAAAATTTGAAAAGGCAGCACGGCTCCAAAAACGATTTTAAGAAGTTAACTGCATCTTAATAATCTAACTTAATTTTTTTCGCTTCAACCATGAACTTTTATTATTTCAAAACTATAAATATTTTCTTGTGTTTTCAACCACATACTTCCAAAATAAGATTGGCAAAAGGGTTCGTTTTCCTTGAGCGAAAGAGTGGAGTAATACCAGTGATTAGTACTTGTAGTCACATTAATTGCATCGGAATAAATTGTCAATAGTTCTTTTACAACACAGGCACTGAACCACTTGGCGAAACGTAGATTGTCTGAAACTAAATGGAACTTTCCGTTGACTTGTAGTTCATTGAATAAGTTGGAAATGAGTTTAGCATTTAAGTAAGTATCTTCTATAATCATTAGGGGCTCAGGGAACCCGATGAAGATTTCCTTCAGGTTTTTAAATTTGACGTTTTGTTCAAAGAGCAAATTGATGTCTCCGCCCAAAACATAAGCATTAGGAAAGTTGCCCAGTCTTAAAGCAATGTCCATGCTTCGATTCCACCTTAATTCGTTGACCAAAATTTTTTTGGCGCCGTTGCAAGATTTTTCTACATTATAAGCATTTTTGCCATAGCCAGCTCCTATTTCTAAATATTCAATATCTACTATTGAATTGAAAAATTGGTGTTTGTGTTGCTCAGCTTTTTTTTCAAGTTCAGGAACATTAACATTATTCACCAACAGTTCCTGCAGCTCTGTTAACAAAGGCAGCGTGCTTTTAGCGTCTAACAGCTTAAGTGTAAATAGTTTGATGTAATAGCTATGCAAAGAACGCAGATTGTGTAGGTTTTGGTTGAATAAATAAGTATTAGCTTTATTAGCTAAATAATAAAAATTTTGTTCGATGATACCGGAATGTTCGGGTCCTACCTCATTCAATCGCTCTTTAATTAGATCTAATTGGTGGGAGCAAAACATTTTAATACTGTCTGACTCTAGCGATTTTGTTTTAGTTTCACTGGAAAGCTTTTCTATATCTGAGAACAGCTGTTTCATTTTTTCAGAATACCCGTTTAGTTTGGGTCGCCAAACTACAATGCTAAGCAACATTTTCACGTGGAACAAAATGACTCCGACCTTGTCCAACCCATAAACAGCCACTTCATCGTAATTGACTATTTTTTCATACCAACTTACTGCTTCCTCAATCATCTCAGCCGTGCACAGTAAAGCTATCAAGTTTTGAATGTTGAAAAGATCTAGCAAATTGGAGAACGCTACACAAATGGCCACACATTCTGCAACATAGCCTGTGTTGTTAGCGCTCTTAATCAAAGCTCGAATGTTTCTAATCTTGACAGCAATCTGCTCTTCAGCATCTTCGCCTATGACGTAGTTCACAGCATTGGTGTTAGGGTCGTTCAGAAGATCGGTAAGAAACTTCAAAATATCTATTTTTGGTAACAAGGAAGCTCGAAACAGTGAATAGGACAACGCAAAATTGTGCTTTCCAATTTTCATCCAACAGCCCAGAAGTAAAGAAGTATTGACCTTAGTATTTTCTTCTGCGAAACTTAAAAACGACTTCGTGAATTTCAATGCAAGTTGATGGTCTCCTGCTCGCAACGATATATTAATCATGTCAACAAAGTTTCCACTTGTGTAATTGTAATTATAGCGAGATATCGCATAAAAATTAGACACGGCTTCTCCAAAATTTCGTTTCGCAATACTAGTCTTCAATTGCTTTGTCAAAACATCGTATGAGGGTCTGTTTTTACCTCTGACTGCTTTCTTCGATGGGTTCTTGTCTTCATTGGCCTTTTTAACTGATTGTATTGTATCTTGCTTAGTTTTTTTGTGAACAACAGTTTTATTTTGCTTACTTTTAGACCTGCCTGGCATGGTAACGCCACTATAAATAAACAGTTGGGCTTTTACAAATTATTTTGTTCACAAATTCGTGGTCTCTTCAAAAACCGTCCTTATATATATTCAAACAGCCGCGTATTTATTTTAAAATTTAACGCCGTAAGGAATTTTAACCAATTGTCTCGCGAGAATAATTACATTAATTAGAATTGAAGAATTAAATAATTAATAAATGACCGCGGCTAAATAAGCATGTCATGAAAAGTGATATCAAGCTAGAATTACTAAACCAAATTACATATCATAAAGCAGTTATTCAATATCTAATATGGAGAGCTGACGGTCAAGCACTATTGATTGCATACAATGACTCCACAATTGGCATTCTCGAAAACACGTCATTAGACATTTGGAGGCTCAAGGAACTTTCTTGTAAATCTCACGGGTGCGACCAAGTGCTTTGGGTTTACCTAAACAACACGCTTTTCACGCCTCACATCTTGATTGCCTCTTCGTACATGAAAAACGGCCCAACGAAGCTCATTTTGACGGACGTTATGACCAAACAAGTCCTTTGTGACGTAAAGTGTTCTGTCAAAGTATTAAGAGGTAACGGTATAATAATCTACCAGAACTACGTTCTGGTCATTGGCATTAATTCAGAACTACACCTATACCAAATTGTAAAAACAAATGCAACCAGAAATTATCAGCTGAACGCTGGAAACTCTGGTCTCGCGTTTAAACGCATACACGTATTTACCACGGAAGTGTCGAACTCAACGCTCGCGTTGAGCTCAGTATGGCACAGAAATTTCGTTTCAGTTGCTACTATTTCGAGTGACGGCTACTTGTATATCGCAGTCAACGAATATATTATTCAAACGTACGACATTAAAAACATCGCAGATGGTCCCATACAGCAAATTGAAGTCGAAAGCAAACAAAAAGGCTTCATCCGTTCAATAAAATGTATTCCCACAAAAAACAACTTGCTCATCAGCTTGCACACTGGTCTTATTATGATTATCGACAGATCGACTGGGAAGGCAATTTGGGAGAAGTTTCTTCCAACAATTATTTCCGAACCGATCTCGAAGCTGTCTTCCCTTGTCCAGCACTGTGAAGCTTCAGACTCACTAGCTTTTCACCTTATTGGTTTTGGACTCCCAGACTGTTCTCCTGACGGCCGCTTTATAGCGTGTGGCGTCTCGATTGAAGGCAAAGGCCAGGTTGTGCTGTGGGACTTGTCTTCAAAAACACGGAAAATTGGTTATACCAATACAAGTAGCTTGCCTTACATCGTATCTTTCAACCACAGTTACAACTTGTTAGCTGAGTCTAGTCGACTGCACGGAATCTGGGCGTTCCACTATTAATTTGGTCTTGTTTAATTTACCAGTCTACATAATCGTTAATCATATTAAAATACTTATCAACTAAACTTTCGCGCAGCTCAAAAGCCGTCTTGCTTGAACTTTCGATTTCCCGAGCCAGGTTTGCTAGAATCTCTTTGATTGTTTCTATTATAAACTCAGAAGAATAATACAACATGTTTTCTTTTGTGATCAAACAGCCCAAAGTGTAGTCCGAAAACGGCTCGCAGATCATTGAACATTTCAATATCTGCATTTCGTCTACAGACCTGTCTTGGGAACTGTAGAAACTGGACTCGCAGTCTAATTCTAGCTCATTTTTTTTCTCGTAAACTGGATTTGTTTTAACTTGAAACCTAAGTAGCTCAAGATTTTGGTACAAGTAATGTATAATTGACCGCAGCATAAAATCTTTCTCGAGGTCGTTTGTGTCAAAGTTGAAGCTTATTCTGACGGCATTATTTCCATCCCTTTCTATGATCAAAGCACTTTGACTAGCACTGTCAAAGCTAGGCTTTAGTTTGTAGAACAAACTTAAAGAACTAGATTTTTTTTCTTTGAGCAAAAAGTGAGTTTTGAAAAAACCACTTGATCGTATGCTGTTGAGAACAGAAAGCAATGTATTCCAAAATTCACTTAAATCATTTTCCAAACCTCGAAACAAGCTCAAAACCAGAAACTCTTTTTCACTGACATCGCACGTGACATTTTCCATAAAAGAGCCACTCTTTTACGCTCTCTTAAAATTTTTTTTAATTTATATTAAACCGAACATTTAATAATAAATTAATATGACAACACAGGAAACCGTAAATAACACGCAGTCAACAACCAGTTTGTACAACAACATCAGAAACGTAATCAATTTGATTGATAATTTGTCTGATGCAGGCATAAACAAATACATAGCCTTACCTAGAATTGTTGTGGTGGGGACTCAAAGTGCTGGAAAATCTTCAGTTATAGAATCTATTGTTGGGTATGATTTTCTTCCACGAGGAGACGGCGTTGTAACTCGCAGACCTTTGGAGCTAAGACTGGCCCACAGACCCAATACAGTTCTCACCGCCTCGTTTCCTAATAATTCACCAGAAAAATTTTCTAATCTAGCCCAAGTTAAAAATAAAATTCAGCAGTATACGGATGAAATAGCAGGTAAAAACAAGGGAATTGTATCTGAACCCTTGGTCTTAAATATTTCTGGACCCGAATGTCCTGATTTGTCTTTAATTGATTTGCCTGGTATCACGCGTGTACCAATAAAGAACAGCGATCAAACAGAAGAAATAGAGCAGTTGACACGAGAAATGTCATATAACTACGTGAAAGACGAAAAGACAATAATACTAGCAGTGATACCAGCTAACCAAGACATTTCTACTTCAGACGCTTTGCAACTCGCGAGAAAAGTAGACCCAGAAGGCAACAGAACCATAGGTGTTGTAACAAAATTAGATTTAATGGACAAAGGCACGAACGCAGTTTCAATATTACAAGGAGAGTTGGTCCCACTAAAACTCGGGTTTATTGCCGTAAAAAACAGGTCACAGTTCGATAATCAAAAAGGTTTGTCTATTGACAAAGCGTTAGAGCTGGAAAAGACTTTTTTTTCGACTAAACCTGAATACAAAAAATTATCTAAAGATATGTTGGGAACTCAGGCACTGATTGACAAACTGACGAAAGTTCTTTTCAGTCACATTAAGTTATTTTTACCGGATATCAAGGCAGAGATTCAAACCGAACTGCGTGAAGCACGAAGTGAATTAGCTTTGCTAGGAAACGAAGTACCTATTAACAAAAAAAATAACTCACACATTGTTTGGACTTGTGTAAACGATTTTTGCACGCTATTCAATAACTTGTTAGCTGGAAAGTATGACGAACGCTTGGTACTAGACAATGAAAGAGACTTGACAGAGTTGTGTGGCGGTTCACAATTAAGACAGGTTTATGACGACCTGTTAAGTGAAGAGTATCAAGATAACATGCTCTTTGAGTTATCTCAAGAAGAAATCAAAAAAGCTATTTCCCTGCATCAGGGGGTGGGGCTGCCCGGCTTCCTGTCGCTAGATACATTCGAATTTCTCATTCTTCCTCATCTTCAAAACTTGAGACATCCAGCGCTGCAATGTTTAGAAAAAAGTACCAACATACTAGAAGCTTTGCTAGAAAGAGTCGGGTCACGTATTTTTCAACGTTTTCCCAACTTAGGTTATAAAGCGGTTCAAATAGCAAAAAAAGTGCTCAATGAAAACAAAAATGTAGCTCACGATTTGATCGACAGCATCATAACAGCTGAAACTGGGTTTTTATACACAAACAACAATCAATACCATGAACAGAACTGCGATTTATCCATTCCTCCATTGCCAACCACTAGTAAAATGATTAATAGCGATAATTCTAACTCTTTGTTTTTAAAAAAAGCAGGTATGGTCGATGTTTACTCGCATCAAATGAAACAGCGCTTAATTAGTTATTACAACATCGTTATTGTGAACCTTCGTGATACAATTCCAAAAGTTATTGGAAATTTTGTCGTAAAAAAGTTGACCGAGCAACTTCGATACACACTATACGATAATTTAATGAATGAAGAATCCCTTGAAGACCTGCTTTCTGAACCCTCGAATATTATTATTCATCGTGAGGAACTTGCCTCCAAGATCAAGATCTTAAATGGAGCTCTTAAAATACTCGAATCAGATCCTAATCTGGCTTATATTTACAGTTCTTCTCACCCGAAAAAACATAATAAGTCGCTTCCAGAAACGCGAGAAACCCATGTGGAAAACAAACCATGTTTAGAAACGATCGAAACTAATTTGCAAAATACTGTTTCTACACACTACAGCAATATGTTTGGTACTAAAACTCCATTTATTAATCCTTTAAAAAAAAACGCATCGTACCATAATTCTAAAAAATTATTTTGAATTCTTTCTTTTACATTAGGTTATGATAGATCTAGATTGTTAGGTTCTACTGTAGGTTTCTCTGGACAGTTATCCAAAACAAATTCGACGTAATCGCGTTGAAAAACTTCTAGTACAGTATTTTTATCAATAGTTGTTCCAAGTCTTTTTAAAGGTAAATTTTGGGCTCTGTCTAACAAACTTTTTACTTTTATCTTGAAGCCGAAATTGCTTCTTGAGTTTTTTACTGGTCCAAGTTCGTTGCACAAAAATTTAGTGTAGATTTTTTTGTCGTACTGAATTGATTTACATTGTTTGACAGGAATAAATTGCGGTGTAAATAAATATTGAAACTCTTCGCTGCATTTGGCATACAGATTTATTGTTTTCTTTTCTAGAAAAGTTTCATTTTCTAAGTAAGTCGATATGATTTTATGCCAATATTTATTTTTGAGTATGCCTGCGAACTGATTCTCGTTTTTTAAATTATTCAAAGCTTTGTTGAACTCTGTTACTGAAGCGAATGGCACTTGGCAAAAGTGCAGTTTTTCAGTATCAAGAGTGTAGTTATCGTAAATTAAGTCTATTAAAAGTTCTAGAGAATCTCCTATGCGTGCCTCAATAGGACTTATTAAATCTAAACAGCTGACAGTATAGGTCTCATCGTTCGAATAACTTTTACAAATTTTAATGACTTTTCTATCTTCGTTTGATACAACCTTAATTAGGTAAATATTAGACGAATATTCATCTGTATATTTATTGTTTGATATAAAGTACAACGGACACACGTGGTACGGATAAGCTTTATTTGTTACTGCTAAGTTTAATTTTAATTTTAGAATAAAGCCTTGTTTGTTGATTTTTGATCGACTCACAATCATTTTGCAAAAACGAGGTTTTAAATAATCAAAATGCTCTGCAAACTTTGATTTTATCGTTTTCTCTAGTGCTTTTAAATATGTATCGTATATCATTACAAACCATTGTTTGTTTAGCGTTAATAATTTTATCAACCTACTAATTCATATAGTACTGAAACTTACAGTGTAGGTTCTAGGTCTAAAAGTATTTTTATAATTTTTTCTTGGCATAGGTCAATAGAAAAGTGTTTTACATCTTTGCTCTTAATTTTTCTAAACATATTAGTTTTCTCACCCTACTTATGAACGTTACCTGAAAAATCTTGTCTAATGTTTTCTAAAGCAAATCTAACTACCTGACCAGGCTTAGATCCAGATACCATAGTCTGATCTTAAAATATTTGCTATTTAAAAGTTTAGTCACGCTAACCTAGGTCGAAACAAAATATTTGATTAAATAATCAAATAATTTGAGGAAAACTATTTTAATTTCATAAATTATTTAATCAATTTAATTAGGCGTCTAAATTAATTGTTCAAATAACATTTTAGTCAACATGAATAAATGAGCTCTATTTTCAAATAGTTGCGAGTTAAACTATATGCGAGAAAAAGTTATTTTTACTTAGGTTTGTTTATTTAATGGTTGAATACAACTACGTTTTCAAAGAAACACTAAATGAGCAAGCACAACTTCAAAACGTTCAAGTTATTTTTAGCAAAAGCATAGATTTTATTGCCAATGAACTTAGTCAATATTTGACTAAAAAATCTTATTTGCAGCAGAATGATTCACTTTACACTTTCAGAGAAAATTTTTGGATTGAGATACGGCAAATTCGAGATTTACTGCTCAAATGTTTAGCGTTGACAGAGCTAATTAATGAGGCCGCAGACATTCAAAGATTGATGAATTTTGGGCTACAGGTCAACCTTATCCGTGAAAATATCCGTGGCCTTGCCGCTCAATTTTTTCCTCTACAATGGCCGCCGAATGGGAGCTTGCCGCCTCCTCCGCCTCCCAATGAATTAAATACTAGCATTAATATGTTAGTGCGCGGTGAAGTAAACCAACTGCCAAAATTCACACTTTTAGCGGTAAACCAAGCAGCAAATCTCAGCTCCAACATTTTAAATAGCTTAAAAATTACGGATTGTGAAAAAAAGTTGATTATTCACACCCTTAAAAACGCTTTAATGGCGTGTTTTGCGTTATCGATTAGTTCAAAAAACGGAAAATGTAATCCAATTATGCGATTTATTAACTTCTCTACCCATAATGCCCGCGGTTGCTTTTTTTTACCGTCTCAATTTGAGATTATTTTCTTAACCGACTTAACGCAGTTTCAAATTGAATCCTTCAAATTATTGGTAGGAAACACGGAGTGCAACAAATGCATTATGCAACCGAAAAGCGAACGAATTTGCATTTGCTCGTTATCCTATGAAATTAACATGATTGGTAACAATGTATTTACAAGTGCGCTAAATCTAGTTTCCGAGTCTTTACATCACTTGAAGCAGAGACTTCTTTATGAAATAAACAACTGGAAGTCAATTATTAATGCAATTAAAGAAATCCGAATGAAGTTGCTGCACATGAAAGGTTTTTTACATACAATAGACAAGGAAGAACGATTTTTCGAAGATTTTTTCGAGGAATTCAAGTCGAAATTGGCTCTTTTAGCAAAACACTTGCGAATAAGTCTTTTAGACATAGACTTTGAGTTTTTAAGCAAAAAAATAAGTCTTGACAAGTCGAACAATAATGTTTTTTCTGCTGAAAGTTTTCTTAATGAACTCATTAGCCTGGAATCTGAAAAGCACAAAAGTGAAGCTACATTACCACTCGAGTCGAAAAACGGGATTGAAGCTTTTTCAGCGCTGGTTTTAGAAACCTATCGTAAAGTGAGAAGTTTAGAACACCGCTGTTTAGATAAATTTGAAGAAATTATTATGGAGCATTCCATTCTAGAGTCGAATCTGCTTGTTCACGATTATTTTATTTTCATGTGTCACTATGCCTCTTGCATGGCAGGCCGAACGGCTCTGTCTATTTTAACAAACCAAGCTCGCATAGGTGTTCAAACCATCGTTTCTAACGGCGGGCTGTTGGCTTACCATAATTACAAAGAAACAATATTAGAATCGCAAATTAACACGGAAGCCGATGATCCTTCTGCCCAAAATTGGCAAAACCTTTTTCTAAAGTACTTTATAAACGAAGCAAACGTGTCTTTACTGATTAAATACCCGATCCTATCGCGCAACCTGCCTTTCGCTTGTTTTTTGACCGAGGACTTTTATTCAATCAACTATGAACGACTTGATCTCGATTTCTTTCCAGCTTATCCGCTGGAAACATTGCATTTTCTGTCAAATGCAGAATTCTCGGTAAAGCTGCCACGAATAAGGTTTCAGCTCAACGCCGTCACAACTGAATTTTCTGTGCTTCTGTACCCCATACAAGATATCATCGAAAATGAGTCGGATCACTCGACGCTCATTGATATGTTGGCGGATGTCGCAGACTTTAATGGCTTTTATTACGTTGAAAATGGCAAAATACTCTCAATTTCGAGCTTCCACGAAAACATCGTTTTCAACAAAGGTTTGAAACTTACTGTTTTCACTAACTCAGCTGTAAAAATTCTATCTCAGCTTATTTTGAAGTCTTTAGTTTTAATTTTAGACACAATGAAATATGAACATTGTGAGATCGTTTACAATTATGAAAAATTATTGTACAAAAGAAAAGATGCTGAGATTTTGTGCATTACAGTCGAGTCTCTTAGTGGCCTTCTTTCTATTGGGTGTAATTGGCAATACTTTGTTCCGAACCTTAACTTGACAGAATTTAAACCGCAGTTAAGCGAGAAATTGCAGGACCGGAAATACTCTGACTTCATAGATCTTATTCATAAAAATCTCTTAGCTTGGTAGGTTGCTTTTTACCTTGCATTTAATTTTTTTTTTGCAAATATTTGAGCTTCTCTACAAAACAGTTTCGTATTTTAGCTTCTGTTTGATCGTGCATGGCGAAGGGACCTGAAATCTTATCATAAATAGACAAAATTTCAGCATATTTAGCCGCGCCGTCGTTGTGTTTTTTTTGTTTGGCTTCGTGTTCAGAAAGACGACGCTGATACTCTTCTATCGTCTGGGTCTCCAACTTTTCAAAAACACTCTTGTTTCTCTCTATAACTTCGTCTATATTAACGTGTTTTTTTGAAAAGGGAGAGCTAGAATCTAAGATATTACTATCGTTAATATCATTCATGTTATATTTTTAATTTTGTTTGAATTAATACATAATAAATATTCATTAATTAAGTATAAATTAGTCAATCAGCAAGCCATGGCCTCACAGGTCGAAGAATATAACTACAATTTGAAAAATATTTACTTTTCTTACTTACAAAAATTCGTTGATCAATCCTTATCGCCTTTCGTACAATTGTCAGCTGAAAATATCATCCAAGTTCGCCACATTGTAAGTTAATTTCAGTGAATTTCTCCTAGCCAGATTTCAGAGAAGAATTGGGCACGTCTGTTGAAACAATCAAAAATTGTCAGGACGTCTACAACAGACTATTCAGACTGTTAGGCCATTTGCAAGACGAAACCGCCAAAATTATCAGTTTACTTAAACAGCATAGCGAAGCTTTCAGAAACAACACACGGATTTTGTCGGTCTTTCCTTCTCAGTTTAAATTAATTAGCCACGTTGACAATGAAATTCTTGTCGAAGCCCAGGTGGCTGACGAAGATAGTTACGATCTCACAATCGATGGAAAATATCTCGTTTCCACCACAAAAGACAAAGTTTTGTCGGTTTCAAAAGATATGACATCTTGTACCAAAGCTACGATTGAAGAAGCAAACGTTATTGCTTGTATTTTAGCTGAAGAGAGAACAGTGTGTGAGGTCGCTCTAACCAGGCTGAACAACTATATTGTCTACATGAAGGAAGAAGCTAAGAACGTCCACATTTAACAAGGTCGTGCGTTCGTTTGACCAGTGAGCACTAAATACTGCTGCATCCTGCTGCTGAAATTGTTTTCTAGCAAATTCGTACTTGTCCAAAATGTTTTGAAACAAGAGTGGGTCTTAACAATCAACGATTTCTCCAAACGCTTGCAGAAACTTTTCAGCACTTTCATCTTATCAACTGCTTTTTTTGACGCCCAGTACTCAAACTGAACTTTATACAGAAGATAATTTTCAACTTCTAAGTCGTAATTTTGTAATTCCAGCTGACTAGCTTGGTCTAGTTTTTTTTTCGCAAGTGCATATTGCTTTTTTTTTCTATGTAACGCAGCGCTAGCCAAAAGCTCATAAAAATCATAGCCTGTATTTTCGTCGTCACAGCTTATGTTACAGTACAAAACTTTGAACCAACTCAGTCTTTTATTGTGAGGAAACATTAAAATAAGCTTGTCTATAGCAGATTCGCTTTTTTTGATTTCTTTTTTCAAAATCAAACACTCAAATAAGACGAAGTCACTTTTGTCTGCAAAGTGAAAAATATTTTGGTAATACACTCTGGTTAAAGCTGCATGTGTGTAGTTTACTGTCCAGCAAATCGATAATAACCGAGACAAGAAAATTTGACCGTGTTTTGAATACGTCTCTTTCAATAAATCTATTTGTTGCTTTCCGTTTGGTTTTTCGTCTGAATTTTGCTCTAGCATCAGATCAAAACACGCGAAAAAAAACGCCAACTGATTATCGTTACTTGAATATGTATAATTAGATAGATTTTTGTTTAAGTTTGACACGTACACTAAAGCGTTATCACGGCACTCTTGCTGTTTGAAGTGCGATTGATATTTCAAAATGGAAAAATGATAAGGAGATAAAACATCGGGCGGATACACCAAAACTTTACGCAGTTTTTCTTGCTGCACATCGTAGTTAGTGAAAATTAGATAACTGACGAGCAAATCAACAAGTGTTGCATTGCTCAAATACGATTCATTTAAATTGTCAATTAACTCTGCTATCTCTCTCGTCGATAAAACTAATTGATTATTCAGTATTGCCTCTAAACATAACTCCCACATTGTAGAAGAATCCAAGTTGTTGAATAAGTGATACAAAAGCAAATACTCAAAAAGAAATTCTTTGTGTGTTTGCCAACTGTTAATGAACGCGTTATAAGTTTCATTTTTATTTTTATCTTTTATAACGTCCATTATATCTAACGACATATACTTTTTGACAAGCTTCAAAACTTTTTTTTCAGAAAACTTTGTTAACAACAAGAAATAAACGACTACTGCTAAAGCTACATTTAAACCTTGATGCTTCAGTTTCAGCAGATTTTCTTCGATGTTATAAATATCGATCGAGGATAAAACGTAGTTACCGAGCATATAATAAAGTATTTCAGCTGCAATTTTGTCTTCAAACTGTAAAACGCTATCAACAAATTCTGAAATGAAATTCACACCTACGTTCATGTACCGAAAAGCTTTTTCTACCACTTTTGTCGTGTTTTTGTAGAACTCAATGCTCGCTGCAGCAGCGACAACCCAGAACTCAACGTACTTTGCACAATAATGCAACGCTTTGTTAATCAGTTTTAATTTAGATTTGTCGTCTTTTGAATTTATGTACAATAGCCAAATCTGCAAATTGTGAGGAAAATACTTCAACGCTTGTTTAAATATAATGGGTTTTGTTAAATCGGGCTCAAGCTCAATGTACTTAAGCCACAATCCTTCGTCATTTTTCACGTGAATCGTTGCGTTGTTCGCCAGTTCGAGCTGTTCCAGTTTTGGCTTATTTTTTTGTGCCACCAAATCTAGAAGCCTATGCCAAAGTTTGGCACTTTCTTTGTTATACTTGAGCCCAGTTTTTATCCAGTCTTCTTTAGTTTCATCGTTGAATATTTCGGCAGCAATGAGCCAAATCTCGTCGGAATAACGACACTTCAAACAGCCATTTGCAATTATTTCTTTTGCGTTCTTAAGCTTTTTGCATTTAATCAAGAATAAAGCGTAATTTATCCACAAATTTACGTTCGTCTCCGCGTTCTTTAGTAATCCCTTGAATGTTTTGCAAATTTTAGAGTAATCTTTTAAGTGATCATCCAGATTGCTTTCTATCTTCTCGAGTCTCACTGGCAACACGGAATTGTGCGCTTTTTTTGAATTGTCATCTAACGCAGATCGAAAGTAAGACTCATTCATTTCGTAATTTTTTATAGCAACATCTTCTTCTAAATCAACCGCAATACTAAAGTCAACCGCGTTCCTAAGATTTTTCTTTTCGTTTACGAATTTTTTATGAGACGATAATATTGGGAGCACGCGCTCTGCTTTCTTGCTTGTATGGTTCAATTGAGAAACTACAGGTTTTATATCATCCCAGTCAATTTCTGTTTTTGCAATGGTTTCAACACTAGGTTCTATAATATTTGTTTGAAGATCCTCTGCATCTAGCGGCTGCTGAGCTTTACTTTTGCTTTGGTCCACTCTTAAACGTTTAGCATTTCTTTTTTCTTCTATTTTTTTAATTTCGTTATAAAACTCAAACGCAACAGGGTTTTTGATTGTTTCTTTTATCGCTTGTTCCGTCGGATTTATAGTACTTTTTGAAGCGTCTTGATGAATGTCAAACTCTGCTGCTTTTGCTTTGCCCAACTCTTGAGCTAAAGTGGCGTCTTTTCGGCTGACACCACTGGTCAAGGCTGTAGCACCTCTTCCTTTACCAGGAATGTAATCCACGGGAGCCGGACCCCAAATATCGTCTGGATCATACGATTTTTTTTCTCTTTTGAATTCATCCGTCATCCATTATATTATTTGTTATTTTGAGCATTAATTTCCACAACTTAAGAACTGCTTTAAATGATTTCACTAATTGTATTTCATTAAAAATAAATTAATAAAATAATGAAAAGGCTCTGTTTACTAACGTAATTGTGCAGGTTTTCTTGTAAAAAACCTACCATGTGTAGCATGTGTATAATTTATTAAATAACAAACAATAACTGCTTTCTTCATTATGTATGTAGAACTAAGATATTACAGTTTGCCCAAAGAGTTGTAAGTAGAAATTATTGATCACTTTTAGACAAATTCCTCTCATTTTTATTGAGGAAGACAATGTGAACTTCTTTGGAGGAATTTACTCTATAAGAATAGACGAATATGAATATTATTACATTAACAAATTAAGAACAAGGGTTCCAACAAATAAACTAAAATTTTTAAGTCTCACACAATGTTTTACGTTTCAAATATATAAGAACGCAACCTCAATAAAAAGTATAATTTCTGATAAAAAAACGGACATAAATAATAACTACATTAACCAGCACACTGCTGCTTCTTACGAATTCGTTAACAAAGTTTGCATTTTTTTAGACCTCGATTATTCGGTGTATTACGAGCCAATAGCAATATCAGAAAAATTTGATAACTCCTGCCAAACATCTATTTACAAATGGATTACAAAAGTACTTACAAAAAGGTTTCTTGAATAGTAGTAAATATTTATTTACGAGATTAAACAGCGTGGTTAATTGTTGGCTTTTTTCTTTAGAAACATTAAGCCGCAGCTTAAGTCGATATCAGTAAAAGGTTCATATTTTTCTTGTGAAAAATCGTTAATTACTAATGCTCTTTCAATTGCTGTGAGTCTGCTGCAGTTCCTTACGACCGAAATATCTGCTTCTACTTCAGATTCTATTTGTTCTTCTTTCTTATCAGTTTTTGCAGAAACAGGTTGGTTCTTAGGTGCGGTTTTCAACTGAAGATTATTGATATCCTTTATTATTATACCTGCTCTCTTAGCTGCGGTTAACAGCGATTTAGCAATAGAAGCAAGTGGTTTGTTCGTCGCCTCTTTGTACTCAGAAAGGTAGCTGTTGTCATGCTCTTTACAATTTAGACGTAAGTTGAAATCTTCAGGAGCTATTCCGTCTTCTGTTACAGCAATCAAAGCTTGAGGAACGAATGAAAGCGTAATATTCAAGATAAATGGATACCAATACCAAAATTGAGTGTATAGAATGAACCCAATAGCCCTTACTGGTGAAATGAATGAACCAACCCATTTTTGACTTTCTAACAATTTTTTCATTCCTGGATTTGTTTCGTTGTTCTTTTCGATAACACGTCTAACTGTTGCAAGGGTGGCATTAGAACCGCTGGCAGTCAAAAATCCAAGACCATACAACGCTCCTACTCGAACCATTACATCGTCATATGAGTTGCAGGCTAACGTTACAAGCAAATCTCGTACTTCAGTAGGCGTAGGGTAAATAGGCAATTTAGTTACTGAAATGTCGCCAATATCAATAGTGGGAGTATTTTCCTTGCGTTGATATAAAATCATTCTGTCAGATATACCCATATAAATCATACCAAGACTTATTAATGCTGCCTGACGAACAAGCTCATGAGAATCGTTGATTACAAGTAGTAATAATTCTAAAGCATTTCTATCACCCGTTCCAGCCGCTATTAATCCTATTGCGGAAGCAGCAGCGTATCTAATTCTGTAATTAAAAGAATCAATTAGCATTTTGAAGGTTTCTAATGCATTAACAAATTCGCTTGTACCGAGATAAACGAAGCAAAGGGCCATGACCGCCATATGTTTCACTTCATCGCTGGCGTCATCAATAATCAGTTTCAGTAAACGAGCAATTATATCGTTGTTAGTATTTTGGAAATAAGCAGTACCTAAGGAAAGTACACCGCCCATTCGAATAAACTCGTTCTCGTGTGAAATTATTTCATTAACAACTTCCAAACAGTTTTCGTTCGAATGAGCCACAAGCATAGATATAGCTACACCAATGCTTCTTAAAATTTTTTCGTGTTGAGTATGACTCGAAAAAGCAAGTAATTTTTTTATTAACGCCGTATCAAACTTACTATAGTTGACAATACCCATACCAAGACATGCAGCCTCAGAAGGTAGTGGCACATCATACAACAAGATAGCTTCCAATAGATTGGTAATATCAACATCATTAGTTGCAATAAAAGCTAGACTACAACCCATACTAGCTCCTGTCAATAATTCATTATTTGTATTTCCAGACATGGTCTCGATGGCAGCGCTTAACTGTTCTCTTAGATATTTTTTAATATCGTCTGCAGGCTTATCCGCTTGAAGTAACCCCAAACCATAAAGTCCACCTGCATCATCGTATGGTTGTCCGACTTTCCACCCTGGCTGGTTGGGTAAATTGCTACTCAATACTTTGATACCTGTATTGGAATGAGTTTGATTAATAATACCCAAACTTGCAATTACAGAATATTTATTCCACTGCAAAGGTTTGACGAACCAGGTTAAATTGTTTCTCAAAAACGAATCGTTTTTAGTACTTCTTTGACTGAAACAGTATGCAATAATTGTTGTAGTAATTAATATAATCGGTTTCAACCCAATATTTACTTTGATTGTTTCATACAACTTTATCGATGTTTTGTTATGCTTTTCGTAGAAATCATGAAGGTGCTTCGCTTTAATAGAACCATCCAAATATTTTATTGCTTTATTTTCTTCTGGGTTGAGAGACAAAGTTTCTAAAATCTTATCAATCATCGACAGTGTAGAGTGACAATTGACTATATCGCACAACCAGTAGAAATAAGCTAAATTCAGCTTTTGTGCTATCTTCAAAACATTTACAATTTGAGAACAATCTCTAGTTCGTAAAGCTAACATTATCATATAATAACCTTCTTTTTCAAATCTAGAAAAATCAGTACTTCCTTCTGAATTATAATAAGAGATTAGTTCGTTCATTACGATTTTAGACACATTTTTGCAAACTGAAATAGACTTGCAGATCAAAAAAGGCCGTATACTAAGCTCCTTAAGTAATGCGAGATTAATTGACTTTTGTTGAATATTTTCTATGATCGACAGATTTGAACTTTCAATCACTATTCCGTGTACCAAAAGATTAGTTGCAGGAGATTCAAACGATAACAATAGTTCAACCCAGTCTGATATGACCTTATTGTCGGTATAATTTTTCAAATAGAGTCCTATTGCTGTAGTTATTAAACAATTGACATAAGGCTTCATAGAATTCCCCAACAAATTTACAGGCAGGTTAACTTTTCTTTTTGGGGGGATTGAATCATAAATTGAATTCAATATAGAAAACAATGCATCTTCTGCTTTTAATGCGTATTCCAGTGATGAATCATTTAACTCAATGTGATAATAAATTATACTAATAAGCAAACATAAAGACTGACGAACATCCGAATTTTCCTGAATGCTATTAGCTAACATTTCACTAAAAATAGTTGGCAAATTGCAACTTACATTTTTTCAAGTTGCGTAGACAAATCTACCCATTCAGTCGTGGTACGCGACAATAAATTGTTTATGGCAAACTCTTGAAACTTAACATCGCTGATATATGAAATTAATACCTCAATTGGAAAATATTTATCTTCCGGCATGGAGTATACTAAAGTAAATTATTTACAAATCATTTCTTTTTTTAAGCAAAAAAATTATTATTTATACTTTGATTACCCACTAGATTTGATTATTACAATACCAAATAAAAGATTGATTTAAAAAATAAAAATTAATTAAGAAACCAACACACTGGACCAGTGTGTTGTTAATAAACAGACCTTTGTTAAATCTAATAGTCGTGAGGATAACTGAATTCATTTTGAATTGACATATAATCATCAAGCAAAATTTGTAACGATTCGCGAGATTCGGAAAATTCAGATTCTTCCATTCCTTCACTGACGAACCAGTGAACGAAGGCTCTGCGTGAAAACATTAAGTCGAATTTGGCAGCCACTTTTTCGAACACGCGGTATATATTGGTGTTGTTTGAAATTGTGCATATGTTTTTCTTTTCTACAGAAATATTGCTGTTTTGCAATGTCGTTAAAGGCGCATGAGAAATTCCAGTTTTGAATCCAGTGGGAGACCATGGAACAAACTTAACACTAGACTTGGCTTTGAGATTGAGGATGGCCTTATTGACGTCATTCGTTGTAACGTCACCTCTATACATCAAACAACAAGCCATGTAGATACCACTCAACGGATTGCATCTACACATTGAATTGCTTTCTTGGAAAGATTGGAATGTTATGTCAGTAACAGTATTGTTTTGGTGGTTCACGTTTAATGGACTAGTAATAGGCGCCAAAGAGCTTAACATAAAATGCAATCGAGGAAAAGGAACAAGATTAGTCAAGAACTCACTTAAATCAATGTTTAGCTGCCCAGAAAAACGTAAACTTGCTGTTACAGAACTAACAACGTGGGCAATCAAGCTGTTCAAATTTGAGTAAGAAGGCTCTTGGCATTTAAGTTGATTTTGGCAAATATCATAAATCGCTTCGTTGTCAAGCATAGTTGTGATGTGGCTATGCTGAATAAGACTAGACAAACTCAATACGGCGTTATACGGTTCAACGATGCTGTTAGAAATGCATGGTGAAGGCCAGATAGTAAAATTGAACGTAGGGATTTTCATAATATCTTCTTCCATGTATTCGTTTACCAACGCGGTCAGCCCACTACCAGTTCCTCCTCCTACCGAATGGTAAATCATTAAACCCTGTATACTTGAAGTCAACTCCATTTGCCGTCTAATATTATCGATGATAGTGCGAATTGCACTGCGACCGATTGAATAATGACCACGTGCGAAGTTGTTTGCTGCGTCTTCCTGAAAAGATAACATATGCTCTGGATGAAAAAATTCTCCTAATGAACCTTTCTTAATCATGTCTATCACGCTAGGCTCCAAATCAATAAGCACGGCGCGGGGCACCAAACGTTCTGTGGAAGAAGTGTGAAAGAAAGTTTCGGCTTTGGTGCCCGTATAAAACTCTTTATTTATTTTGTTGCCAGCAAAGTCGATTCCGTGCTCGTGAGCAAATAACTCCCAAGCTTCGGGTGCCAGTTGCAAACCAGCCTGACCAACATGTAGACTAATTATTTCTCGCATACAACAAGAGACCGAATTACTTCCTAAAAAATAACACTATACTCAAAACTCTGTTCAAATTAAAATAGCTAAAATACATTCAAAAAGGAAGGCATTCGAATTTACCAAAAAACAGACCTGTAAATATAGCAAAACTACATCGAGAATTTATTTCAAAATGATAAATTATTTTATTTTCATTTAATTAAATAAACACGGTAATGGTGATTTAGATTCTTCACGAACGCCACAATCGGCTCGCGATAAAAATCAGAGTCGTACGACTTGTCAATATTGTTTGCTGTGATAATATTTTTTTCTTTTTTAATATCGTAAAAACACTCTTTATCTACAGTGAGATTGAAGTTTCTCCAGATGTTTACGTCTTTTACGCGAGAATGAACAAGCGCCATAGAACACATACAACAAGGTTCTGAATTTAAAAACACTGAAAACTCAGTTAAATAGTACTGTCTTGTCGAAATAGCATTTTCGTCTATTTCTATTTCAATATTGCTGTGTGTGGAAAATATATTATTGCAAGCTAAGCTCGTAGTTTTTTTATTCGCTATGAAATTGCCTATGGCATCAATGGCTAACATGACAGCGTGATTTAAAGGATTTTTATAATCGCCGCAAGCGGAGGCGATAAATCGATTTTTATGATATATGTGGCACTCTAAAGAGCACGGATTTGGTTTTTTACAAAAGTTCAAATTGAGAGTCTTAAAGTTATAGAAAGCTGTTTCGGCGAGGCCTTCTTCATTTGGAGTTTTAGCTAAAGGCGTCCATTGTTTAGTGTATTTTCTAAACGCATAAGGCCAGTGACGCGCATTTAACGCTCTGCATTCTGCTATGCTGCGCGATTGTAGTTGGTGAGTTACTGTTGAAACAATCTCGGGCATTTCGCCTAACGTCTCAACAAGAAAACTGAGGTTGGGTTCAGCCTCCCCAACAGAAACTAAAATGTTTGCGTCGTCTTTGCAGTTGTCGTTAGTGCGGTTAACTCGTTTAACATGACGATACGAGTCAGAAAACTCAAATCCATTTTGTTTCAATGCTTCAAGAACGCTCGTGACCTTCTGACTTTTTACTCTGATATAAAAGGCCGGTACAGTGTCTATTTTTTTGTAGTTTTCCCAGGTTTGTGGTGCTAATTCATTTATAGACAAACTACTTTTTTTTTGCATATGACGCGGATAAATATTACCAACTGCGCAATATTTTTAAAAACAATAAATAAAAGCAATCTTTTAGCAATGAATGTCGGTTAACACTTTTGCATACTTTTAACTTGATTTAGTTTCATATTCCGGTTCTATATTTAGTGCGAGTCTATGAGTGCAATAATAAATTATTATAAATCGTTTGTGAGTGAGTTTACATTCTATAATATTGATCGGCCTCGGACAACTGTAAATAATTAGATTCAAATAAAACATGGAAGACTACAACAAGTCGACAGAACATTATTCAGACCTGCTTCGTTCTTTTTCTTCGAAAGAGCCAAAATCGCAATTCAACACTGCACAGCAATTGGTCGACCGAGCTTTTCGTCAAGTTTGTAAAGAATACGACGAAATCTTATCAAGTCAGTCGCGAGATGTGGAGGCGTACAAAACTAAACTTTCCAGCTCTCAAGCGCAAATCAAAAAGTACGAAACTGAAATTCACGAGCTCCAGGTTTCTTTGCAGCAAGCGCGGGACGAAATTTTACGACTGCGCAAATCCAATTCTAATTTGAAACAAAAGTGTGAGAAGATCGAGTCTCTGCGTAGATCTATCATGGCAGATCTTCAAGAAATCAAAGTCGACGACTTGGACAGCCACCCTATCTACACAGAACCTTCGTACTCAAGCAATTTACACTTAGACAACACACTTTCTAACATCACAACCAGCCCTCCAGTTAGCATTTCAAAGCTGGATGAAGCCACCATCAAAACGAAAGAACTATTCAAAAACGCGAAAGGTATAATGGACACGCAGCAATTCCACAACTTCTTACAGCTTATCAAGAAAATGAACGAAAACCAGATCACTGTTGAGCACGCATTGAAGACAGCCAAAGAAACGCTCACGCCCAGATTTGAAGGCATTTACAACAACTTTGAAGAAGTTGTTCGCTTGCGAAAAGCGGCCTCAAACATATAAATTTAAATACCTGCATAACTTTTAACGCTAATACTTTTTCTACTAAATATCAGAAACACATATCTGCAATTTTTAAATAAAAATGTTGAATGTAAAATATCTTACCAATTAGATAATGAAAAATATACAAAAATCAACTTCATGCTATTTCAAAGCCTACTTTTTTCTTATCTATATTCTCAAATGAATTTGAAGCGCAATTTATACTTTTGTTTAACAAAAGCGTGGGCGGTCTACTCGTTACTCGTGGAATAAACATTGAGACGTTTGATACTCTTTCTTTTAAAGATTCTCTGGAGATATCTTTCACTGAACTTTGTTCATCTTCTTCGTTGTAATCTTCGTAGTCACTCGACTGCGTTAAATAAGAATCTTGAGAGTACAGGTCCATTTCAGACGTCTGTCTGCTGTTATCGTTTTCAGAATTCTCTTTTCGCTTTACCTTTATTTTGTGGTTCATAAACTTAGCTCCATACGGTTTGTACAAATTTCCGCCAATGCGTTCGCTAAGTTTTTTAACAACTTTGTCCATTTCATTGCCCAACACTTCATTTTTGAGACGGCGACTGTTTTCGATCCGTTTTCTGACTTTGAATTTTTTTCCGATAAAATCGTCCAGCTTGTATTCTTCAGGATTCAACATCTCAAGGTTGGGCTCCTTCTCAACTTCTTC